ATGGGGGTGGGCTATGGCGTTGGGTGATTGGGAATTTTGACGGGTGGGGGGGCGGGGGGGGGGTTGGAAGGATGGCTTTGGTTGGTATATTTAGGATATTGGTTGGGGATGGGGACGGGAGATGAATGTGGGGATGAAAAAGTGATGTGATACCATGAGATGAGATTGGCTGGGTGGTTGGTAGGGAGGGGGGGAGTGGTTCATTTTTGGCTGCTTTGCTTCTATATGTGTTTGATTAGTGTATTTATTCGGCTAGGTGTGGTGATTTGTAACAAAAGTAACGATATTTTTTCCATGTCTGCTGGCGGTGCAGTTCGTATTCCAACTCACCACGTGAAGGTGATCGACGGGATGACAGCATTGACTTTCCGGGATATTGTGTTCGAGATTATCTCGGCCCAGGGCGTGACAGAACCTTTGATTGAGATCTAAGCTTGATTTATGCTCGGGTTGCACTGAGATTGAGGAGGGTGTTGGTCACCAACGGCTTTACCTTCCGTATAAGGTGCGGGAGGGCGGCAGCGGGCCTTACCGATGCAGATAGCGGAGAGATCGGCATGGGGTGGGACGTCATGGGCATAAAAGTAGAGACTACCTCTGGGAATAAGGGGCTTTAAGAGTGGTTTACATGCCCTTCAAAAGAAATTAATAGGCGTTGAAAGATAGGTATTAGGCCTGTGAGATACATATTAATATGTCTTTTTAAGATAGTCAAGAGGCCTGAAAAGATAGCGAACACGCCTTGAAAGATACTCGGGACGCATGGTGACTATCTTTTAGGCCTTGACATTTTATCGCAGGCTCTATTTTGCTTGTCCATAGCGTATGTCCTAACTCCGCGTATGCAAGTCATGACGACGGATGGTACCCTACCTGTCCCTCCCCCCTTTATGAAGACTCAGACAATGTTGACATGAGCACCTTACACGGCATGCTAAAGTTCTGACTGGCATGAAAAAAGAGCTGCATTTCTAGATCTACCCCTGAATTACAGATTTTGATGCATATACACCAAACCATCTCTTCCAGCGAGATATTCAACCATCCCAAACAGGATCTGAAGAAAGGAACACCACCAAAAAACACAGAAAAAAAATCAATAACGTCTCTCCGCAATCTGAAAAACAACCGACCCGTCACCCGTCTCCCTCCACCCCTTGACTCCAAACTTCCCCTGCGTCTCCCTCGCCCTGGCAAACTGCTCCCTCGTGTACTTGATGCAGCTATTCGTCAGCACATAATTCTTCCCCTTCCCCCCCGGAATCGGCAGCGACACCAACGTTGTCGCAACAGCCACCTCTCCCACATTCGAGAGTTGAAGCGGGACGAGCCGGAAAATGTACTCGTAATCATTGCTGCTTGCCCCACCACCACCAACATCCTCCGAGCTGGAGTTGGGACTTGATTGGGGGGAGAGATCAAAGTTCCGATCAAATTTCTTGCCGACAAGGGAGGAAAACTTGAGCATCTCGGGATGGTGGTAGAATTCCTCGACTAGCTTGGAGTCGGTTATGCTGGTGGTGCTGACGTCGCTGTCGCTTTCGCTGTCGGAGGCGTCTGATGATGGGGCGGAGGATGGCAAGACTTGCATTTCTGACAGCAAGAGGTCGCCTGGACGCGTCAGGCGGGAGAGCATGGGCCCGAGACGGGAGGGTAGGTCGTTGCCTTCTTGAAAGCCGAGGTTGGTCATGACTGTGATGGTCTCGCCTTCCTTGTCAGAGCCGGGGAGAGGTGGGAGGTCGTCGGCCGAGGTCTTGTAAAAGTCGGCCACGAGGTAGGCAAACCGATCGGGGCCGATGATGGGCTCGAGGGCAGCACGCATGGTGAGTTCGGACTCGGGGTTGATGTCGATGCCGACGTACTGGGAGAGTTGAACGCCCGAGCTGATGAGGTGGGTGATGATGACGCTTGATTTGAATGGCTCTGGGCCGAGCTCGACATAACGAACTTTGCGGCCTTGGGCGAGGTTGGCGAGCTCGTCTGTTGCGCTCAGGAGGGCGGAGCGGAAGGAGTGGCCGCCGTTGCCAGTGCAGAGGTTCTTGTCCAGGAGAGCACCCTTGTTGAGACTGGCCATGGTGCCGAAAATGGCGGCTAGGCTTTCGCCTTCTTCGTCTTGAGATTGGTCGGTCTTGATACCGTCCGGGCAGTATTTGTCTGAGTTGTCGAGGACGATGATTTGCTCAGGTGGAATCTGACTGTGTTGCGAGATAGACTCAGCAACGAGCGTGTTGAATGCAGGAAGAGTGGTAGCTGTCATGGTGTTGAATTTGCGAGAGAATGAAATCTCTTAAGTCGTAAAAAAATGGAACAAGTGATTCTTGAAGATGTCTGCCTGCCTGATGGCAAGATAGAGAGGCATTGTCATCGCGGTACAGTCGACCTTAAATACTCGATACCAGTCAGTATAGACCTGTAACTGATCGCGTAGTTGTGTCTCTGATTGGTGCTATTTCCATCTTCTTACTTACAGAAAGAGATCTCGATGGGATGCGGTGGATCGTCATGATCGACATGGTCAAAGGCCGCGGCCTAAATCATCGAGTGCGGTGAACCTGACCTACTGTTACCTTGAGAACATGCGAGCTTTCGGGATTCCCTGAAAATGGCAGTTATTAAACACCATAGCCGCGCGAACTTCTGCTCATCCTCTCAATAATCACTGAGTCTATTCCGCCGACTGGTTTGGACAGTCGATGCTCTTTCCTGCCGATGTGGTATCGGTTTGACCAATGACGCAATCGATCATGAGAGTGTTTGTCAACAAAGTGAGTGAGCACCTTCAATGTTCGCACCTTCCTACCTCACATGGGATTGACTATCAAGCTCAACAGGAAAGTATCTGAGCCTGACAGCTACTGCTTCTCCGGAAATATTACCAATCAGGCACCCGACCTGATCCCCCCTCCCGCCGACTGCGGCCAGCACCATGAGCACTTCAGGGCCTCCTGCGACTGAGAAACCCATCAACACACCAGAAGACTCGGAAGATCAAAATGTCGACCCCAAGAAAATCACCTACCCCGAAGGCGGCTTCAAAGCCTGGAGCGTGGCCTTTGGTTCATGGTGTGCCATGACTTGTGGCATGGGACTCGTCAACTCAGTCGGCATGTTCCAGGCCCTCGTCGCAACGACTGTACTGCCGACTTACTCCAACCAAGCCATCGGGTGGATCTTTGGCATCTTTGTTTTTGTCTCCTATTTCTGCGGCGTGCAGATCGGCCCCGTCTTCGATCGACACGGTCCCCAGGGACTGATGGCTCTCGGGACTGTCTGTCTGCTTGTCGGCATCTTTACCACCGCTCAGTGCACCGAGTATTACCAGTTCATCCTTGCCTTCTCCATCCTCACCGGCACTGGGTGTTCCCTTCTCTTCACACCTGCTATCGGGGCCATTTCACATTGGTTTGACAAGCGACGAGGGACAGCCAGTGGGTTTGCCTTTGTGGGGAGCGCACTGGGGGGTGTCATGTGGCCCTTGATGATGCAGTCACTGGTGCCCAAGGTCGGATGGGCATGGGCCATGAGAATCGTCGGTTTTGTGCTGCTCGTACTTTGCGTTGCCAGTGTGCTCCTTTGTCGAAGTCGTCTTGAGATCAGACAGGCCAAGGCATCCTCTACGTGGCGAGATATGCTGCCCAACCCACGCATGTTTCTTGATGGTACAGGAGCGATGGCATTTACGACTGCTGGGGTTTTCTTCATCGAGTGGGCGTACTTTGTCCCGGTGTCATACATACCAAGCTATTATCTCGCTCGTCAGGGGCTGGCCGAGGATGCTGACGCTGGAGGTGATGCAGCGTTCGCGTACCAGCTTCTTGCCATCATCAATGGGGCGTCTTGTATTGGGCGATATCTGCCTGGGTACATCGCCGACAAAGCAGGTCGCTACAACACGATGGTTGTATCCATTGCTATCTGCCTCGTGTCTGTCGCCTGCTTCTGGCTCCCCGATGCGCTCGGCCAAGATGGAGGTGGTGGTGCTGGACTGATAACGGGGTTTGCAGTCTTGTTTGGTCTTGTCAGTGGCTCCAACATCACGTTGGTGCCCATCTGTTTGGGCCAGTTGTGCGAGACGCATGATTATGGTCGGTATTACGCCACTTCCTACACCTTTGCCAGCCTGGCATGTTTGACAGGAATACCTATCGCCGGCGGCCTGGTAGACATGGGAGGAGAGACGGATAGAAGGGCTTATTGGAGACCACTTGTGTTTGCTATCGCCAGTTATGTTGGCGCATTTGGGTGTTTCTTTTGGGTCCGAGTTCGAGTAAAAGGGTGGGATTGGGGAGTGAAGTGGTGAGATGTAATATATAGAATGAATCAGATATGATACCCTTATATTTTCGAGTTAAGAGGAGAAGCCACAGGGTTTAAGGTTGTGCCTGCCTAGACCTCCATCTTTGCCCGTCAAGGGAGGCTTGGGAGATAGCTGGTATCCTTTGAGATATGCTTTATAGGCCTTGATAGGTAATGAATAGACGTTAAAGGTGAATTGATAGGCCTTGAGAGATAATCTGTATACATTTAAAGATAGTTGATAGGTGTTAAAAGATTGTTAATAGCGCTTCAAAAATAATAATGGGTCTTAGAAGGTGGTCAATAGGCTTAAAAGGATAGTAATAGCCCCTTTTAACTATTACTTTATGCCTCATGATAACGTAAAGTCCTTTCGGGACTTGGATGCACAGATGGACCGGAGCAGGATGGGATCATCATAGTGTGTATATGTCTCTTCTGTATATCAAGATATCGAGAATTTTCCCCAGTTATTCCGGAATCTGGTGCTCCTCCGCTGGCACGCCAGCCCTCCACTGGAACTTGGCAGCAACGTGCTCAGGTAGTGGGTGCTTCTGTCCAGGCTCACCGTAGAAGTTCTCGCGATATGTGCCGCCTGGGACGGCGTAGTCATCCCAGAAAAGACCACGCTTCCGCAGCTCTGGGAGAAGCAGCTCGATGATATCCTTGAAGGATTGCGGGAAGAGAGCGTAAGCCTGTGTCTCCTGTCAGCTCTGTTACTCTCTTCACCAATAAGCAAGAACAAACTCACAAAGTTAAACCCGTCCACCCCACCCTCCTCCACCCACCTCTCCAACCCATCGGCAACCTGCTCGGGCGTACCAACAATGATCGGCCCGTTCCCACCAATAGCAACATGCTCAGCAACAGTGTGCTTCGTCCACTTGGAGTTTTGCGGCGAAAACTTGGCGTACCCAGTGACAGTAGACTTGACAGCGTTGCTCTCGACCTCTCTCAGCTCCTCATCGTCACCGTACTGATCAAGATCGATGCCTGTCCAACCGCCAAACAAAGCCAGGGCACCCTCGGTCGAGGCGTACTTGCGGTACTCGGCGTGTTTAGCCTGCGCCTCCTCTTCTGTCCTTCCCAGAATCGGGGTGACCAAAGCCAGAACCTTGATCTTGTTCCCGTCTCTGCCGAACTCAGTACGAGCTAGCTCGCGGATCTCGGTGATGCTCTTGGCGCAGACGGCCGGGGAGTGAGCGGAGGTGAAGATGGCTTCGGCGTGCTGAGCGGCGAAGATCTTGCCGGCGCGGGAGGTGCCGGCTTGGAGGAGCAAGGGGGTGCGCTGGGGGGAGGGTTGGGTGATGGCGGGACCGGGGACGTCGAAGAACTTGCCCTTGTGGTTGATCTCTCTGACGAGGGCAGGGTCGGTGTAGATGCCCCTCTCGCGGTCGAGGATGACGGCGTCGTCGCGCCAGGAGGACTGGAAGAGCTTGTACATGACCTTCATGTACTCCTCCGCCTGGGCGTAGCGGTCGTCGTGGGCGAGCTGGGTGGCCTTGCCGTGGATGTTGCGGGCGGCGGAGTCGAGGTAGGAGGTTACGACGTTCCAGCCGAGTCTGGAGGTGGTGTTAGTTTGGAGACAGAGGGTGGGTGAAAGGGGCAAAAATAACTGACCTTCCCTTGGTGAGATGGTCGACAGTGGCAAGCCGTCTGGCAAGATGGTACGGCTGTTCGTAGGTGGTGGAAATGGTGACGCCGAAACCAATGTTCTTGGTCGCCGCCGCCATGGCTGGCACCACGGAGAGAGGCTCGTTCACTGGCCACTGAGCGCCGCTGATGACAGCAGGGTCCAGAGAATTCTTGTAAACATCATAACCACCTATTTTATTGCGGTTGTGTCAGTGTTGTTTGCTTGTGTTCAAAGTCAGGGGTTGGAAAAGGGGGCTTGTTACTCACCCAAAACATCAGCAATGAAAATGCCGTGGAACTTGGCCTCCTCTAGCAACTTGGCAAGCTCAACCCAATGGTCAAGATCATTGAACTTCCAGGACTCATCGTCAGGGTGCCGCCAAAGTCCTGGGGACTGGTGCCCACTGCCTGAAATCCAACAGAAGCATTAGCAAGCGTTCAGTTGAGCTGAGCTGGGTCTTCTGTGCCTCTTTCATGCAAGCAAGTGGGATTGATTCTGGTAATGAATACGTACACATTTCAACGAATGCATTGACGATGAGTGGCTTTTTTTGCCTGGTCTGAACAGCTGGGGTGGTAGCAGCCATGGTGAGGGATGAGAGGTGCCAGCGAGATGCGTCCAAAGAGGATAGTGAGTGTCTTGGTTGAGAGGCTGGTTGCTTGCTTATCACGCCGTGCGGGAATCCTGGAGATATGTCGGCATCGTCTGCAAGCTGCAGGCAGGGCCTACATATGGACGGCACCAAAGGGCATCACATCATGCCGCCATCGCCGTGGATGGGGCCGAATGTGGATCGGCAGGAACCGTGGTTGTTGGATGGGTCCCGGAGCCGGGAGGCGATGGCGCAATTGACGTGGGGAATGATGCTCATAGCGGCCGCCTCATCGCCAAGTCCACCTTAGACCACCCCCGGACCGGAGGCCATCCCGAAAGCTGAGATGGCAGGTGAATCTTGGATTTATTCCCGTTAATCTGTGGAGATGGTGGGATTTGGTGTTTCTTTGCAGTTTGTGTGGGGGTGTGTCGAGGCTGTGACACCAAGTGGACATCCAGATCTGAGACCCAGAGAGAGAGAGACCAATAGATACAAATACCATGATGGCGCAATCTGAGCGCGTAGTTGTGTCTTTCGACTACTTAAGTTGACAAATCTCGGTCGGATTTTGCGGTACTACCCGTGCTGACATCACCTTCTCAACATCCCTTATCTTGCCTACCCTACTGCGGCAGCTCGAAGTCGAGTCGTACTGGTTTCTTTGATCAGAGACAAGCTCTGCCGGTGCCAGCCTACAGCAGCTCGAGAGACACAATGAGTGGAACGTCCTTCCTCCGAAAAATGTCTCTTCACAAGTTCAGAAAGTCGCTATCAAGCCCCAAGCTTGACAGTCTCAACCTCACAGAGGCAGAGAAAGCCCCAGTCCGGCCAGATGAACCCCTCACCCCTCCACCAGAAACCCAGACGGTCCTGCTGTTGCATGCTGCACGGCAACCCTACGAGTTGACAGACGACTACCCAGTCCCACAACTCCAAGACGAGCACGAAGTCTTGGTCCGCACCCAGGCCATTGGTCTCAACCCCATCGACTGGAAGGCTCCGTAAGTTCATCTCGTTCTGTCTGCCTAATCTGAAGGTCTCACTGACACCAAATCAGTGACTTCAACTTCGCTATCCCCACCCTCCCCTACATCTCCGGCCGCGAGCTCGCCGGCACAGTAATCCAAGCCCCCTCTTCCTCCTCCACCCGCCTTCAGGAAAAGGATCGCGTCCTCGTCATCTCCACCGACTACCGCGACCTCCGCAAGGCAGCCTACCAAGAATACGTCATCGGACTCGACTACAACACCGTCCGCCTCCCCCCATCCCTCTCCATCGAAGAAGGTTCCACCCTCGGCGTCGCTTTTGTCGCTGCAGCCCTCGCCCTGGGTGTCTGCGCCGGCCTTGACTTCTCTCATGTTCTCGACGGACCAGATCTCTACTCCCTCGTCCGCGACCTCCCCGCCGACAGGATAGCAGAGGACATCCGCGCCGAGTGCCTAGATGGCATCCGCTCCCATGAGCGCGCCCAAAAGGGGGACTGGCTCGCCGTCTGGGGCGGATCGTCTACCTCCGCCAACCTCACCATCCAACTGGCCAAGCTGGCAGGGTTGAAGACCGTTGCCGTGGTGGACAAGGCCAAGCACGGACTCCGGCTGGCGAACCACAAGGCTATCAGGACCGACTTGCTGGTCGACAGCCACGACCCGGAAAGAGCGGTAGCAATCATCAAGGGGAATCTGAAGGGCAAGTTGAGGTTCGGGATCGATACCCGCGGAAGGGAATCGGCGACGAGTCTGCTGCAGGCTTTATCGCCGGATAATCTGGGTGGTGGTGGTGAGCAGCCACTCTTAAAAGAGGGTGAGGCGCCTCCGAGCCCGCCGTCGACGCCGCATGACTCGACGTTGTTGAGTGCGCATTTGATTGGGTTGACGGGCTTGCCTAAGCAGACGGCGCCGGAGGGGACGCTTTTCCATACTGTGCCCATCAAGTTGTTCCATGAGGTGCCGGCGGTGGGTGAGGCGTTGGTTAGTTGGTTGGAGAGGTTGCTGAAGGAAGGGTTGGTGCAGCCGCCAGAGATTATTGACGTGGAGTCTGGGTTAGGCAGCATCAACAAGGCGCTGGATCGGATGAGGAAGGGTGAAATCAGTGGTGGCAAGCTGGTTGTGCGGGTGTAATGTTTTGTTAGTGCGAGACGCGCTTGTCAAGCTGTCGTTTAGCGGTTAAAAAGGGGCAATGTTTGTTTGTTTGGGTTGTGCACATTCCTCGGGGCGCTGTTTTCTTCAAAGGGTTTTATTTGTACAAGCTGGGATACAAAGTAAAGTAGGCTATTATTTACGGAAAGAAAAAGAAAGAAAATGTTGGTGTGCAAAATTGAAACAAACAAAGATTGACGCGTCTTGTCAAGTTTGATTACTTCGGTACAGGTGCAGGCGCAGGCAACTCTGCTCCCGGGTTGTACCCCGGCCCATGCACTGGGCTCCCCTCCAACTCAAAATGATTTCCAGGCCGACCTGCTCCATCAGGGAGTTCACTGACAGGTTTACTACCAGCCTCGAGAGGGTACTTCCAATCCGTCTTTACTGGTAGTTGATGATAGTGGAACCTGCCCTCAAGTTCATTCGCAGCTCTCTCTTGGTCAGGCAGCTCAGTCTTGGCAGTTGAGAGACGATCAGAATCAGCCGCAGCTTTCTCATAAGGGCCGTTGTGGTCATCGGGCTCCCCTTGACGAGATTTCCGTCTCCGCAAAAACCAAAAGGCAGCACCTGCTCCACCAACAACGGCGGCGACAATACCGATGGCCATCCCGGCAATCGCGCCTGCGGACATGCCACTACTGGCGAGGACCTCCTCGTCCCTAGAGTTGTCCCTAGAGTTGTCCCCGCTTTCAGTGGGCACTGCCGTTGCTGAGGTGGACGTCGTTGGTCTGGTTCGTCTCGTACGGGCGGTCACGGTGTTGATGTCTAATCCCGATATCACCGGCAATGCAGCAGCTCTATCCACCAACCAGCCGACCTGGGGGTTAGCTGTCGGGCAAGGTAGTTGTGTCGATGAAAAGGTATAGGCATCTCGGGAGGTGGACTGGGGAACGGTTTCGCTCCAAACCTGCTGGAGAGATGTGTATGCTGGCAAGAATGTACCGGGTTGGCCGAGGTTTCGGTCGGCCTCGTCACCATAGACAACAAGAGCAAATCCGAACTCATTGCGTCCCCATTGGTAGATGTTCATGCCAGAGAAGATTCGTGAGAACTCGGATTCCCCAAAGAAAGTCTGGACTTCGGAAAACTCGCGGGTCTCTGGAAAACAGCCGTCTTCGGCGAACACGACCGGGGTGTGATGGTTGGAGAACTCGGACCGCAGACGGTCAAGCTTGTCGTCAGAGCAGTTGTTGAAGATGTTGATGCCGTAAAGGTCTACGCTAGACTCGGCGGGCCCACAGGTGAGATACTGAGCTGTCAGAAGACGATATTGTTCAAAGTCTCCGGCAGTGTAGCTGATGGGTATCGGTCTGTATCCTCGTTTGTCCCGGAACAGCTTCAGATCACGGGCGGCGGCCTTCACAGAGGGGGCCACCAATGTTGTGACGGACGTGCCGTTGATCGTTTCCTGCCCGATTCCAAAAGCCAAGAGGTTATCGTGCTCGGAGAACGAATCGATTATTGAGGTCCAGGTGTTGTAGAAGCCGAGGTCCCATCTGGGAGTGTTATCGCTCTGAAGAAACTGTGTTAGATACGTGAATTGTTACCAACATTTACGAGTCAGAAAAACAAACCCTAGACAGAACCATGGGAAGCTGTCCCAGCTGAAGCCAGACATAAATCCCCTGTTTGTCGAACTCCTCCATGCAGCCTCGATGCTGACCGAGCTTGGAGACATCGATGCTGTAAATGTAGACTGCATTGGCGCCAACATTCTTTAGATGTTCTGCATCTATCTGGCACTGGGTCGTGTTCAATAAAGGATCATTGCGATTATCCCCAGCAACATATACCGTGCCTGGATCATGTCAGTCTGAGAGCAAGATGGAATGGGCAACAGGTAGTACCTTTGAGGAAAAACTGAGCGCCGCTTTCATCGTACAACTTTGTTCCTTTGATGGAGACAGGTGACACTGCCTCGGCCAGGCCTTGAAAGATTGAAAGGAAGAGCGGAAGTGCCGTTCGATATTTTGACCGAAGGATTCCCGACATCGTGTCAATGATTCGTGACCACCAGGCCACTTGGATTCCTCCTCAGATCCGAACTGCAAATATCAGATGACTCTGAACCGCGGAGGCTCATTGGCACTCAAAAAGCTATCAATATGTTGAGAGTGAGTTGGGCAACATTAGATTTCTTCAACCATCAAGGCGGAAGAGGAGAGAGATGAGGAAGAAGCTCCATGGGGAGTGAGGGCAAGGGAGAAAAAAGCAGCACCTTCTGTCGCACCGTGAGTGGCTCGCCGACAAATCTGGAGTTCTTGGCCGTCAATGTTGAGTTCAAGACAAGCCCCAAACTCCGCCCCCTGCTTCCCTGCTTGTCTTGCACATCTTTGGTGGTCTAAACCGTTGCACAGTGTGCGCTAGGGCCGATCTGGAGTCTCTGGGCATACTCGGCGTCCAAACTCAACGGTTAACGTGCCAAAAACAGTGCCACTAGCTGCGGCACAGCAAGACGCGTTGCTGAGAGAGGAAAGCGCCCACCACATACAGCGATTGGCACCGACGGCGACTTTTGAAACACTAGGCCAAAATCCTTCCCACATTCATGGGTGGCCGACGAAGAGACCCCCAGTGCCCGGAGGGGACGGTGGTGGCGGCGATTCGGACTCGAGGTTTCGACCTCGGATTATTAACATTGTAGGTGCCCAAGTTGGTCATGCGGCTCGAGGAACGCAATGTGTTTGGTAGACCTGCGGGCCGTTCTTGGTGGTGGTACTGGGCCTCGTTGTTGCAGCAAATGGGGGCCGATAAGATAAGTGGTGGAGATTGGCGAAATTGAGGTGCCAAGATGCCAGGCTTTGGACGAAGGATCCGATTTGCGACGATCCAGGTTTGCTGCTCCAACCTGCCCTTCTTCAGCCCTGTCAGCGATCGGGGCCGGGTCGCCCGGCTTCCGCGCCCCTGGTTTGCACGTTTGCTGACGACGGGGAAACTTTCGCAATTTGTTACCAAGTCAACCGACGTCACCCCCCAAGACCAGAGTATGGTCCGTGCCCTCCAGTTGTCAAAAAACCCCTGAGCCCCTGAAAGCTTGTCAACAACTCGCACATACTGACATGACCCTAGAAGCTCTGATTAGTTTACAGTATTGTGAACTCGGCAGTTCAGGGACTATGCACGACTCCCTCCCCTCACCGGGTGATCAGAGGGTTTATGGCGGCTTTAAACAACAATGATTGAGCAATCCCATTTGCCGTTGTGCCCCTCCTGGTAAGGATGCTGCTTTTCTAACGCCGAATTCTCATATACATGACGGCTAAATCTCAGCGGGACGGCACTCGAGATGGTCACCCCCTCATTTGACCCCAAAGAACAACCTCCTGCCATGTACAAATTCAAGTATGGGGAAGTGATTTTTCAACATGTTGAGCTTCACCAAGAGACAGTAACCGCTTCTAGCGTCTCGACCGCCATCATGTTGCCTTCTCTCCTCTTTACCAGCATCGCCCTGGCTTTGCCAGTTCTGGGCCAAACTCCCTGCACCCGAGACTTCCTGAAGGCTGCAACGGCAGAATACTTGGATGCACTCACTGCTGGAGAGCCGACCTTCTCGACACTATCGAGCGATGTCGACTACTACGAGAACGACGCTCTTGTGAACATCACCACAGGGGTCCTGTCGCAAGGCATCAAGATCGACTTCAACCTCAGCATCTACGACACCACCCAATGCGCCTCATACACCGAAATCGTCGCCACCACAGAACACCCCTACGTCATTGGCACAAGGCTTGCTTTCACCGACAGCAAGGTTACACACATCGACTCAATCGTGTGTGACACAGGCGACTGGCTGTTCAACGCGACTGGGTCCCTGATCTACAATCGACAGGAAAGCTGGGCCCCTGTCCCAGTGGAAAAGCGTGAATCTCGGGAGGCTCTCAAAGCAGCGGGAGACGCGTACATCGATGCATGGGGCAACCATACCGTCAAGCCTGTTTTTGCCAAGAACTGCGCCCGTCTTGAGGGAGGTTTCTACATCACCAGCAACTGCCTCCTCAACTTCCCGCCCCCGTTCAACGTCAGCAATCAGCGGTACACAATTGACGAGGAATTGGGCGCGGTGGATATCTTCCATCTGTTCCCTTTTCTCGACGCTGCTATCCCGAGACATCCGGGCACGCAGACGAACAACTTGATCAGGGTGGAGTCGGGGGAGATTCGGTATATTCACGAGAATACTGTTTGCTCGACCAGGAACTGTGGAAGATGAGTTGGAGATAAATAACTAATCGAATACTGCGTCTCAAATCTTCTCAGCCGCCTTGTTGCCCTCGGCCAGTGATGTCCCCGTCGTTGACCCAGATTCGGCGTCTGCTCTCTTGGCGCTGTGGCAGAGTGTTAGCGTCGGTTCATGAGGTTATCTCTCGAAAACTTACTCCTTTTTAGCAAGATATATCCTCAACACATGCGCCATGCCAATCAAACAAACGGCGTTGGCCAAAACGAAAGAGTAACCCTTGGTAAATCTCGGTCCCTCAACCGTCTTGAAGACCAAAAGAGGCGTCCAGGCCGTAGTGCTCTGAGCAACAGTGTTGATAAGAACCAACGTGAATGCTCTTTCCGCTGGGGCTGCCTTGAGCTGACTGTTGACCCATCCGTACAATACCGAACTCATAGCCACAGCGCTGTAAGTCGTCATGAAGGAAAACCACAACGCACCCTCCGGCACCTCCCAGATAACCTGAATGATCAGACCAATGATATTCCAGACATGAGCCACCGTGATAGCCCACGCCGGTCCCAACACCAAATCCGAAGCGAAGCAGATCGCCACCGTGTAAAACATACCCAGCGCCGGCGAGATGGTGCCAAGCTCGTTCACCCTCGCCTTGGAGAACCTCCCCAGACTCTTGATCCAGAGAAGATAGCCACCGGTCGAAGTGTTTATGCTTCCATTCCAGAAGAGTACGTCAAACAAGATCAACCCCCAAAAGTGCCACGTCTTTGCAATCTTGGCCAGTCCCTTCCACGAGAACTTTCCCTCGGTGACGTGGCCATCTCTCTGCAGACGCTCCTTGGCAACAGCGACATCTTCCTCCGACAACAGTAATCCGTTCGGCCTGTCTGGTGTCCCGGGGAGAACAAAATACCCAATGATGCCAATCGGAATGGTGATGAGCGCACAAATGATATACATCCACCTCCACCCCGCCAACCCCTTGACTCCCTCAAGACGTTGGCTCGCGCCAGCCTGGATCAGCCCCGCGGTGAGCGTTCCCAGCGTCAGCCCAAGGTAGAAAACACCACCTCTCCGAGCGATCTCATCACTCCGGTACCAAGCCCCAAAGATGTAGTGCATGGCCGGGAAGAAGGCCGCCTCGAACCACCCGACGAGGAACCGGTAGGCGGCCAGCTCGGCAAAGCCCGTCACTCTGTACTGCAGGAGAGTGAAGATGCCCCAGGCGACGTCAAGGAATGGAATGACCCAGTGCATGGGGACGTAGGTGAAGAGGAACATGAATGGGATTTGACCGAGGACGGCGCCGATGATGTACATTGTCTGGAGCTGGACCAGCTCGTTGCCTTGGAAGCCGAGGTCTTCTTTCAGGCCGGCGACGTAGGCGTTGTCTGTGTCGTGTTAGTAGGTGTGAGTATAACTCGGGCTTGAGGCAGTGATAGAAGGCATACTGAGGTTGGATTGGTCCATGTACTTGACCCAATATGCCAAAAAGGCGTAGGGCACAATCAGGAGATCGAGCTTGTTGATAAGTTTCCTCTCGCGAGGCGTGTCTTGCGGTTGGAACCATTGTATCTGGTACCATTTTCGCTTCTCTGGTGATGAGGTTTTGGTTGTCATGTTGACTGCCGGGGCTGGATAGAAAGGATCGACGTCAAGCCCCAATGGAATGGGTCACCGTTGGCAATAACGGTCTGGACTTGACAGGAAACGGCTTCTTGCAGCTTTGACAGGTGAAGAGATGCGTGGTTATGCGGACGACGTCACTTTTAAGTCGGGGATCAACTTGTCTCTGATCATGTAGCACAATGTTTCGGCAACGTAAAGGGTCCCAGGAAACTGGGGTTTACCAGCTGCAAGCCCAAGTCGGCTGTCACTATTGGATGGTGCAGGGACTACGGCTCTGTGGCGACAGCCTTTTGCAGGATCACGAATCTTCTCGAGACTCACGACCATTAAACCATTGAACAAAACTGTTGCTCGGGATGGGGTGGTTTGGAGATTGGTCCCTCTACCACCGAAAGGCGGGATGTTTGGCTTGTGGAGATGTTAGCGACTGTTTGCACAGATTGTTCCGGCAATATTTGATGAATGAAGCTTGAAAATTCCCATCACAATTGGATTTTACCACAGCCAAGTACCTCAACGTGGAAGGATGCAAAAGCAGTGGTGCTCGAGTATCCCATTGCTGGGAAGGGTTAGGGTTTTAACCACGGTGATTACCCCTGAATGGCCCCCAACACTCTTTATTTTTTGCCCCATATTTACATCGAGACTGGAACTGGACTTCATACTACTGAAAAGCTCACTGACACAGCAGATTGTGAATGCACAACAAAACTTTCATCCTCGCTGCCCCCGATGAACTCCCCATAAAGCCAAGACCCGCCTATGCTAGTCCTCTAAGCTCAACCGCGCGTCAATCACACCATCCTGATCCAACGCTAATCGGCACCAAACCCCGTACCCCGTTAGCAGTTCGATCTACCAACCGACCCCCTTTCTGCATAGTGAACACCTGAGTGGAACCTCTAAAAGCATGCTAAAGTGACACAACATGGCGCAATTGAAGTTGTCGTTGGTGTCACTGCACTCCCAAGAATTATTGTCATCCTTCCAATTGGTACCTGGTGATGGAGTCCGGGAATAAGGAGGCGGGATCTTCGGTGCTGTGGATCAACGAGCAGCGTGGGGGACAACGAACAGGGCAGGAAACTGGTACAGAGGCATGATGGCATTGACCCCGCGGATGGTGTTATTGTTCATGTTGCCGGTCGGCTTCCGGGAGAGGGTTATCGGGAAGCTGGCGTGAAGAGAGCGAAGGCGGGGGCCGGGGAATCAGATCACGACATTTATGACTGCATGATGGTGGCATAGAGGGCCTTGGAGATGTGATGGAGGGTGTGCACCTGTCCGCGAGGGTTTGGTAGCAGGTATTAGAGAGGCTGTAGCGCATCGAGTGCTTGTTTGTGGTGCGATTTCGATTCTGTTGACTTCGTTGAATTAGACACCCAAACATCATGGCCACCATAACAACCCTCCCAGACCCCGTAGCGGCCATCAACGCTACGGAGAAACTGTCCAACTTGTCAATCTCCGCCCTGGAGGTTCCCGAGCTGTCCTCGTCAGATCGCGACACCAACTCAGACTCCCATTCAGACCACTATACCCCAGCAACCTCACCAGGGCTGCCCCCTTCCACCACAACGATTCCCCAGCGGATCCCTACATATCCCAAGTCCCGAATCTCCCTCGTCGACCGCTTCATTGACCAGCCCCGTGCCCTCAAAGTAGCTGTCATCGGCGGTGGTCTAGCGGGAATCACAGCTGGCATCTTGCTTCCTGCCAAAGTCCCCAACATCCAACTGACCATCTTTGAGAAGAACGACGACTTTGTAAGTCCCAAGATGAGGTGTTCTTGCAAATGCCTTCCTCCCGTATAAGTGCTAACCCGTGACCTGACCAACAGGGCGGCACCTGGCTCGAAAACACCTACCCCGGCGTCCGTTGCGACATCCCCTCCCACGTCTACCAATCGACCTTCGAGCCCAAAACCGACTGGTCCGACCAGTTCGCCCCCGGCGGCGAGATCAGAGACTACTGGCAATCTGTCGCCAAGAAGCACGATGTCTACCGGCTCGCACGATTCGGCACCAGAGTCCAGTCACTCGAGTGGGATGCGGGCAAGTCAGTCTGGAAAGTCAGCACCCAACACAAAGAGGAGGAAGGACCAAAGGTCGAAGAGTTCGACTTTGTCTTGAACGCCATTGGGCGGTTCAACGCCTGGAAGCTGCCAGACTACGAAGGGATCGAGTCGTACAAGGGCCACCTGAGACACGCATCACATTGGGATGGGGAGTTTGATGTTGACAGCAAGACTGTGGCGGTGATTGGGAATGGTGCCTCTGGGATTCAGCTGGTGGCCAATCTGCAAAAGAGGGTGAAGCAGTTGGATCATTATGCGAGAAACAAGACTTGGATTGCAGGCAGCTGGGCGGGTGATGAACGGACTGCTGGTCCTCAGCCTTATTCTGAGGAGCAGAAGGAGTTGTTTGCGAGGGATCCGACGGCGTACCTCAAGTTCAGAAAAGAGCTGGAAGACAAGTACTGGAGGAGGTTCTCCGCCTTCTTCAGGGGGTCGGAGACGAACATTGATCTTCGGGAAAGGTTCATCGAGATCATGAAGCAGAGGTTGAAGAAGAAGCCAGAGTTGTTGGAGCACATCGTTCCAGACTTTTCACCAAACTGCAGACGCCTGACACCAGGGCCGGGATACCTGGAGGCTATCTCGGAAGATAATGTCGAGTACATCACTTCGCGGATCGCGAGGTTCACAGAAGATGGAATCGTCACAGTGGATGGCAGAGAAAGGAAGGTCGATGCTGTCTTTTGCGCGACGGGTGCGAACGTGGACATGGTGACACCATTCCCCATCAAGGGACAGGATGGGACAGAGTTGAGGGAGCTCTGGGATCCAGAGTCAAAGACTGGCTATGGCTTCCCGTACACCTATCTTGGTCTCGCCACCCCAGGCTTCCCCAACTTGCTGTTCGTCCATGGTCCCCACGGAACAGGTCCGTCGGGTACTGTCCCGCATTCCGTCGAGGTCCAACTGGTGTGTTTCGCCAAGATCCTGAGGAAGGTAGCAAGAGAGGGGATCAAGAGCATCCAGCCATCCAGGAGAGCAGCTGATGAGTTCGTCGAGTACTCTGATGCCTTTTTTACCTCGACTGTTCTTAGTGATAATTGTAGCAGTTGGTACAATGGCGGGCGTCCAGGCGGTAGAATCCACGGCATCTGGCCAGGAAGCGCAGGCCATGTCACGGCTGTGAGAAGAGAGCCCAGATGGGAGGACTGGGAGTACACGTATCTCGGGCCTGAGGGCAATCGGTTTGCATGGTATTTCGGGAATGGCTGGACAAGCAAGGAGGCAGATGAGAACTCGGACATGACCTCATACTTGCGATTACCGGGGGAGGTGAATCTGAAGGACCTGCATGAGAGTTGGTGGGATCTACCCTAGATTACTCGTAGTATGAATTGCATGATTGTCGAGAAATTTGAAACCTATGAATGTTCAATTATTTACTGTCAAAGAAGGCCTCTTTCGTGTGGGGTGGATTGTTCTGTGAGCTCCCGACGATAGTACGCACCCAGGAGAATTCGGTACCTACCCAAGGTACCTTACCAGGTAGCCGTGGTGTGTCCGGTCGTCAATGTTCAACGTATTCGGTTCCGCGGATCTGGTATTATATCGTCATTTTAGCCCGGATCACCTTGCTTGTGTCACCATCACAGGCTTTACCATGCCCAATCCTACCGCAAGCCTGGTACACGTCAAAACCAGAAGTGGAAGGTAAATCCGGGCCCGAGTCCTCATGCTCACCGGATATAACGACCGGTTGTGAACAAGGGTTCAAGACGACACAACGGCGCGGGTGGCGCTATCGCCAAGTTACCAGGCTTCCGGGTGTGGGGGTTGAGGTTGCCTTGCCGTCTCGGGAGCATTGCGTGCTTATTGATCATTGTTCGCAAGAGAAGCCGAGACCGGTCCAGCTCAAGATCCAAGGCTTCCTTCCTGGTACTATAGCTCCTACCTTTCACCGCTGAGGTCTGATTACCTCAGCGAGACTGAACAGCACCCGCTAATTGCTTTCCTGAAGAACTGGATATGTGAGTACCGAGGTGCGTGCAACTGTTGCGCAAAGATAAAACTGCCCAGGTGTCATCCAGACTTCCATGTCAGAAAGAATCTTTTGTTATCACCCCTTACCATTTCCTGTTTTTGCTCCCCGAGCCTTCCAGCAAGTCTGTTTCCAGACAGTCAAGGCACAATGGCCTTCCACGACAACACCGTCTCGCGTCACAATGAGGTTGAAGCCGAGCCTCCCAAATCTGAATTGCATCCGGTCAAATGGTACCGTTCCACCTTTTGGAACATGACCGTTTTGGGTTTGTGCAATCTGGCGGCACCGGGAATTTGGGGCGCCATGAACTCGCTTGGGGCCGGCGGCGCTGCCTCACCACAGCTCATCAATGCAGCCAATGCTCTGACTTTCTGTCTCATGGTGGTATCGTGCTACTTCTCCAGTACTTTGGTGCACTACGTCGGGATCAAGGGTGCTCTTATTTTCGGAACGTGCGTTGCCCTGGGGAATAGCAAGGCGGAGATTTTGTCGGTTGGACTCTGACGACTGACTCTGAGCAGGATCGGTTACGCGCCATATGCAGCGGGCCTTTACACCAATAACCGCTTCGGGACCGAATGGCTCGTCTTGTTGGGTGCTGCGCTCTGCGGTATCTCGGCCGGTGTGTTTTGGATGGCCGAGGCTGCTATTGCCATTGCTTATCCAGAGCCTTGGAACAGGGGCAAAGCTATCGGCTACTGGCTGACATATCGACTGGCTGGTCAGATTCTGGGCGGTGCGATCAACCTTGGTCTCAATGCCAAGAACAGCGAGGCTGGCAAAGTGTCATACACAGTCTTCCTGGTGTTTATTGCAATGCAGTGCACTGGTCCCCTCTTCGGATTTTTGCTCAATGCACCGGACAAGGTCGAGAGAACAGATGGCAAGAAGGTGGAGCTGGCCATCACGCGCGGTCCTCTCTTTGAGCTCAAGGAGACGGCGAGACTGTTCTTGGGCAAGAAGTTTCTCTTGATGGTGTTGTTCATCGGGCAGGCTGTCTTTGCAGAGGCAGTCTACTTCACCTATCTTGCTAGTAAGTTTGGTCTTGACAGTCGACAGCGAGGAAAAAGAACTAACAGGAAACAGTGTGGTTCTCTGTCCGATCTCGTGCTTTGGGATCGTTCTTGTCTGGCATCATTGCTGTTGTTTCGGGGTGGATACTCGGTGTAAGTTCCATCTTCGTTCCACCTTCAATTTGTTTAATCAGGCTAACAGTAGCCGTATCATGATAGGCCTGGATTGATCGCACAAGAATTGCTCTCAAGACTCGTGCTCGCTCCAGCTTCTGGGTCATTGTGGTTCTGCAGGGCGCTTGGTGGACGTGGGCGACGGTTCTTGTCACCCGCTATCGCGTCACCAGACCAACGTTCGACTGGGTTGACGGGAACTTCGGTGAGGGCTTCGGTGTTTTCGTGTTTTTGACCGTTGGCTTCCAGCTGAACTACATGTTTCTGTACTTCATCATCCACAACTTGGCCAAAGATGAGTCGGAGGTGGTCCGCTATGCCGCGCTTCTGCGGGGAACCGAATCGGCGTGGCAGGCTGTCAGCTACGGCCTCACTTCGCTCGTGGTCTTTGCTGAGGTTGGGGGTGTTTACATTAACTTTGGACTGTGGGCCATCGCCATCTTCCCGGCTTGGTTGGTTGTGCGCGAGTTTGGCACCTCCAAAGTGGAGTTCGTGGAGGAGCGGGCGTCGTCAGCGGAAACACCGAGCTTGAAGAGCGACGACAAGGGATTGTGAATAGCCATTGACAATGGGAAGTTTGTGGTGAGCCTTGTCGAGTCATGAACCGAAAATTTGAACTTGCCATCAACTTAGTTCTAGAGGCCCGTATAGCTCAGTGGTAGAGCGCATCACTCGTAAACATTCTGTGACATGATGAGGTCCGCGGTTCAATCCCGCGTGGGGGCACATCTTTTTGATTTCTTTTTTTCTCTATTGGATGGTCTTGCATACCATCTATTCTGAAGCTATTCCACACATAACATAGCGTTTTGGGTTTTTTGCAGTCTGCCACAATAGAACACCACTGAAACGTCTCATGCTGGAGTTGGGCTGACATGGTGATTGTTCGGTTCTGCTGGCCTTGTAATTGCTGAAGATGAGATGACCGGTCTACCGCGGTGTGCATGAGGCTAAGAATTTGTCTTCAATCCGTAATACGACGCCATTCTGATGGTTCATCATTGGCAGGAATGTGGCTGCAGTTTGCCGGGACAATGCATGACACCATCGGCCGGTGAATTACAACATGAATTCGGAGATAAACCCCTCCCTGCTGCGAACCGGCAAGCCTTGTACCTCATGCAAATGGCCCTGGTTTGGTACAAGACATTCTGGATTCATTATATGCCTCTATATATAAACATTTGACTCTCCGACTCTCATGTTGGTTCAAGCTGCGACTACTCTTCTTCACATTCCACTCTTCCTTTCCACAAATCACAAGTTAGAATGTCGAACACAAACCAACAACCACCAGCCCCCAACGGGGCTCATCATGAGCTTGGGAATGGCAAGAAACACATCCTCATCAATGCTTTCGATATGAGCACTGTCGGGCACCTGTCTCCAGGACAATGGAAGGTGCGACGATAAACCCCTGCTATGCATGTACTGTGCGATTTGAACCACTGTACTGATAACTGAAACAGAATCCAGTTGACAAGTCGGCAACCAAGCGCAGGCTTGATTACTGGATTGAACTCGCCAAACTTCTTGAGAGGGGAGGGGTCAACGCTCTGTTCCTCGCCGACACATATGGTGGCTACGACACATACGAAGGGAGCGTTGACAATTGCATCAGGCGAGCGGCACAATGGCCAATAACCGACCCAACAATTGTCAGTCTTTCCCATTTCTTTTTTTTTTTTCATGGGATTGTGAACCATCCATTGACAGGATTTCCAGCCCATCTCAGCCATGGCAGCAGTGACCAAGAATTTGTCGTTTGCCATCACAGCCTCGACCAGTTTTGAGCCACCTTATCTTCTAGCCAAACGCTTTTCGACTCTGGATCACTTCACACAGGGTCGTATCGGTTGGAATATAGTGACGTCTTGGAAGAAGTCCGCCTTTAAGGCCATTGGCCTCGACAATCCTATTGAACACGACGAACGCTACCGTCAAGCAGATGAATATCTCCGGGTTCTTTACAAGTACGTCTTGTCTTAGGGTCGTGATAATTTGCCCAAACTAACACTGTCCACAGGCTATGGGAATCTTCGTGGTCCCCCACCGCCCTCTCCCCAGACCCAGCCAACGACAGCTACGTAGACCCGGCCCAAGTGCGCACCATCAACCACAAAGGCAAATATTTCTCTCTCGACGCGAAGCATATCGTTGACCCCTCTCCTCAACGCACTCCCTTCCTCTTCCAAGCGGGCACCTCCTCGGCAGGCTCCGACTTTGCCGCCACCCACGCGGAAGCCATCTTTGTCTCTGGTCACTCACCCTCAGTCTTGAGGCCAAAGATCGACGCCATCCGCGCCTTGGCCGCCCAAAAGGGCCGTGATCCGAGATCCATCAAGGTATTCGCCACCTTCACGCCCATTGTTGCCGATACAGATGAGCTCGCCCAAGAGAAGTTGAAAGAACTCAAGAAGTATGCTTCCACCATTGGAGGTCTGGTGCTGGTGAGCGGCTGGACAGGAATCGACCTGTCAAAGCTACCGCTTGACAAGGAGATAAGCAAGGAGGATAGTGTCGAGGCACACAAGGTCACGAGCATTCTCGACAACTTCACCACGGCCAGCACGGAACACCCTAGATGGACGCCGAGGTTGGTGGCTGAACACGCGGCAATCGGCGGGCTTGGCCCAGTCAGCGTGGGAAGCCCGCAGACGGTTGCGGATGAGCTGGAACGGTGGGTCAAGGAGGCTGATGTGGACGGGTTTAACATTGGGTATGTGACCACACCGGGGACATTTGAAGAGGTGGTGGACTTGTTAATTCCCGAGCTGAGGAGGAGGGGGGTCTATCCTGAGCTGCCTGATCCGAGTGAGGAACCGGTGACGGCTAGGGAGAAGATTTATGGGAAGGGCCAAAATGGGTTAAGAGATGATCATGAGGGCAGTCGGTACAAGTACCACCTGTACCAGGAAGATCCGCCTTATAAGTCCGAGGAAGAGGGGCAGGCTTGAGTGGAGGCCGTCAAACTCCGCAATGTGCCGCAACCAATTTCATTGCATCATTGTTTACTTTTTCACCTTTTGATTTTGCCGTTTCTAACTGATTCTATCAAAGCGCAGGATCTGCTTTTGCTCATCGTGATACTTGACTGGCAAGACCTGGTTGCCACCGACAACCTCCGATACCGGAAAAGCCCACATAGACCCTAACCCTTGCTTACCCCTGAACCCCTTTTCCAATGTTTTTTTGGACCTCGGTACTCTGTTGGATAGTGTAAACATAAACAGATCAGCCAAGCGGTCTGGGTAGCAGCAAGACATCGTGTGGTACTTCATCAGGTGATTCTTGTTTTGACCAGATGCCTCGACTCCAATGTCGGTCAAGTCGGTCGGCGGAGCCTCGGAAGATTCCCACCCTGACTCATCCATTCACATTTCAACCAACTGGCAACAACTACCTCGCTCATATGACAAAAAAAAAATTGACATTGACAACTGCGCCCTTCAAAGACATCAGCACGCAAATTAAACTGTTCAAGAGTTCTTCCAGCACTTCCTCTCCTTCCGCAACCCATCTCAACTCCTTCCACAAATCCGTCCTCCAGAAACACCGCCCCCACCACCAAACTCTTCCGTTGTTTCCAAAATGTCCCAAGCAGCCCTCACCTTCCGCCTCGCCACCCCAGAAGATGCGCCCCTCCTCCAGCCTCTCGTCCAATCCGCCTACCGCGGCGAGACAAGTCGCAAAGGCTGGACAACCGAGGCCGACCTCCTAGTCGGCACGCGCATCAACGTCGCCGGCATCGTCGAAAAGATCAACACCCCCCACAGCGCAGTCATCATGGCCTTCTCCCCAACCCTCGGAAACGCCCTCGTGGGCTGCTGCGAGGTGCTTCTCAAGCCGTCTCGGAAAATCGGGTATTTCGGCATGTTCGCCGTCGACCCCACTCTTCAGGCCGGGGGGATAGGGAGGCAGGTGCTGGCCAACGCAGAGCAGTATGCGAGGAGCCACGGGGCGGAGAAGATGGAGATGACGGTTATCTGGACAAGAAAGGAACTGATTGATTGGTACGTGAGGAGAGGGTACGCGGTGACGGAGGAGAGGAGGGAGTTTCCGCATGAGGAGCTGGCCAAGATGGATGGGGAGAATAGGGCGCTGGTGGAGGACTTGTGGTTCAAGGTGTTGGTGAAGGATTTGTGATTTTCGGGAACGGGGAAAACGTTGGGAGGTGAGGATGCGCGGTGGCTTCACTGTTCTAAGGAGTTAAGTAGATACCAGGTTATGGAAGACGTCACTATTAGGAGTTAGATGAGCAGGCTGTTGGTCGAAGACAACAGAACTCGGGCTGGAATATTGAAAAAAAAGTACCTACAAGGGGCCATGTCTGATTGCCGTCTGTCTCAGATTTTTTGAAAGGATAACTCTATCCTCCTATAAAACCTTGCTCTGCGAAGTCTATGCCTGAGAAAAGGTGAAGAACAAAAAAAACAAAAAGCTCGAATAACGAGGTATTAACCAGGCTGACATTAAGCCCACCTTGCCCTGTGATACATCTGTGGGTTAAAGTAACTTGTCACAGCCAGCCCACCCTTTTTATACGCCGCAGTAACATACGTGTGCACTCCCGTCCCTACATCGATCCCCTCTTCGGTAGCTAGTCCCTCTATCGCCTCCTTGTAACAGTCCACGAACCTTCTGCTCCCATTTTTCTCCATGAAGCTGGTCAGTCCACTCACAATCTGCTGATCGCTCTTTGAGTAGTGCCTCACGGGTATATAAACTTTCACATCTGGCACCGTCTCCTTTGGCCCAACATCAAAGTAGAAGAGGGTACCGGCGGTAGGGTGATCACGAAAAGGCAACTCTTCCTCCGTGTTCATATCTTTTGGCAGGCCCAAGACCCGGCACCAAAGCTCTTTCAATTGCCCCTCTTCCTTCTCCATTCCCCGGCGTCGGCCCCCGAGGGACATGACTCGCCTCACAAACTCGAACGAAGTCCTCGTGGACCGAGCATAGATCTTGAGACGGGATTCGGAGGCGTCGACACAGTCGATGCCAAGCATGATTGGCTTGATGGTTCGGCCGTCTTGGTCTTGCCGAAAGAATTGTTCGAGTTCATCGATGGCGGGGAGATGTGAGTGGTAACTGGAGGACCTGATCGCCGAAGAAATTTGCTCGGCTGCGCTGTTCGACGGGGTTGATACAGGGACAAAATAGCACTTGGTTGAATCTTGGCTAGTTTTCCGTGACAGTTCGAAGGCTAGAAAGAGAGACGATTGCTGGTGCGTGGCTTTTGTAGAGGTCAGGACAGGGCTTTGGGGGCCAAAAAAGCATGTGACAAAATGGTGGAACAGAGAGAGGTCGAGCTCGGGTGTCATTGACTGGAGCTGTGATAGGAGGGCGTAGGTCGCTGCTTGATTTAAAGGGTCAGATGGGTTGTTTGTAATAGGTGAGATAGCCTCGATGCTGTATCGGATCTCTGGCGGGTTGTCTCCTCGTCCCCACTTCCAGCTGTACTCGAATGGGGTGAAGTCGTCAGTCATAAAGCTTTGCCACTTTGGGATTGGCGATGTTGGTTTCGGGCCAAGGCGAGGGGCGACGGTGTGGTAGAGAAAAGACAATGCCTCAGCTTGAGCATCGAGGGTGTATCCCGCTTTGGTGAGTAACAGCATGAGATGGGAGCCAATTTTGCTGGACCTTTTGCTAGTTAGCCAACACATACGACAGCTCAGTAAGCACAGAACGTGGAATTTGGCGTGGCCCTGACGTACCACCAATACCTGTCTGAGACATTATGGCGAGACCGTTTGTCGTGTGACCTCAACCCCAAGCTCACAGTAGAGGCGCTAAGCTGGCCCATTATAGTGTTGGACTGGTAAACTTGAATTCTTTGGCGTCCCAATAGCAAGATGCCGAAGAAGTACTATTTTCACCAGGAACGAGGGAGAGCGAGGGCTCTTATAAGGTGTCCGTACCCCCCTTGAAAGGCCGGGCATGGTCAAATCGCCATGTACATGCGGTTGCTGCATGTAAGCATCGCGAAAAAACAGGGAGGCATCCCTGGTTAGTTACTTGCCAGATTTGCTGATAGCTAGCGTGTGATGGGATGATACCTTCTTTCCAGAAACTCCGTGAGGTACAGCCTTATCAATGCTGCTATCAGAAGCCCCACCGATGTCCGTCAGCGTCAGGTTGCGGTGATGAAACCATGGCTGGGGTTATGATGGACAGCTAGCCCTCGTTAGACCTAGAGCCCCGCTATCACGAGATGTTCGAACAAGTAAAGGGAAAACAAGCAGTGCCAATTTAACTGATGGCGACATCGCACACCGCTTCGTCTGATATCGATGTAGCATGGGGCTGACTCTAGGTAGCCTGAGATACATGCTCAGTAGTTTTCAGTAAGAGATATCGTCTGAAATGGGAACACGTAAAAGATAGTCGTATTTGTGAGTTTGGTGGGCTGCCATTTACGTTGGGATCAATCAAATGAATTTCTGGAGCAGCCCAGGCTCTCAAAGGGGAACAGTTCTCAAGTGATGCCGAGGAAGGAGCAATTTCAAACGGACGACCGTCGTCTGCTTTAGGGACTAGACAAGAAGAAAGGCACACCACTAATAACAAATCACCTATTGACATCTGCTTTTCAAACAACCGTTCATAGGTTCGGACTTGATCCACAGCAGCAGCTTCGGCTCTACACTGTAGCCGCCAAGACCGTATGCGACGAGCTCTCTACAATACCAAGCCTACTCCGACCGTACCAGACAGACTTTCATATGAATGGTTTTACTGGGAGGTCTGGAAGGTCATCTACCGGGAGTGTATGTCACCTTTGTTGCGCCGCAGCCTTCGTGAGCAATCCGGTTAACATTCGTCTAGGCGGGCGCTAAGCTCCCCATTTCATTCGGGGATCTGGCTGTAGAGGGCGCGTTCAAGCTGGACAAAACAGGATGGTCCGAGGAGTACAAAATGTACTATGAATGACGCCAAGGTCTTGAGAGTAAAACGTCAATGCCCAATCCCTTCACGGCTCCCATCTCTCAGGCTCCCGCTACCGGGAAAAAAAGACCGACGCCTGACACTTCGATGCTCGACGATCCCCCTCCCGCTAAGCGGGAGTGTACACGACCACCTGTTGGTTCAAAGGCAAACCACAACGGCAAGCGACTTTACCTGGCAGAGATCGAGATGGCAGTTGAGGAGCACCGGGAGGTGGGAGACAGTTTCACTTGCAAGGATTGCTGCCAAGGATGGCTCGGTCATCAGGGCCGAGATCAAGATCTGCCCTCCTTAGGCATTGTTGGACATGTACAAGATGCGGAATACTACATCGATATCTAGTGTGGATTTGCATGGCGACCTGTAGCTGAATTGTAAGGCACAAAGTGGAGGTAATCCTGAACTGTCACACATAGCGAATAGATCAATGATCACCTGGGAATTGTGTTTAGATAGCCAGAGGGGTAGAGAATCAAGCCAGTCCAATCATCCTCAAACCTCTGTTTCCGAAGTATTCAACTGAACATCATTGGTGTCTAATTGGAAGTCCATATGAAAGTATCATATCAAGCTTCTTGACAGAAGCTTGGGTCGCGGACAACTACCGGGGACAGGTCTATGGGCAGCTGAGAGCTCTTGATAAGATAGTGACAGGAGAAACTTGTGCAGCTTGCCCACCTACAGGGCTGCAAGTCAATAACCTTCCCTGCCCGCCTTGGCTTGATGTTTTCAACCACCAACCAATCATCACGACTGCGAATGTCGTGAGTCACTGTAATTCCACTTCCAAGTTTTTTTCGTTCTCAAGGCTCTGTGTCATATTTTCTTGATGTATCACTTTGTACCTTCGCTATTTCGACAACAACAAAGAGTCGCCAAAATGCATCCGATCCTCGAAACAGATCTCCTTGCTCTCTTATCTGCTTGTCAGGCCCTCAAACCCGCGTGCTCAGACGACACCAATGGTGGAGAGATGCGAGCCCACACATCAGCACCACAGCGCTCGAGTCGATGGCCAGGCTCTTTCTCGGCGCCACTCTGAATGGGACACTGGAGCCCGACCAGTCCAACAAAAAAGTTCGTCGAGAGCACCAAAGTCGTCTTCGACTACTTCTACTCAATCTTTTTCCAGCGGGACCCCAAGACGGTGACCTACAGCGGTCTCTGCTACGAAGTTTGGAATGCGTTCGCCCGTCCTTGTAAGTCTACGATGGTTTTCTTCGGTTTGGTTGCGCTCAGGGCTGACGTTTTGAACTCAGGATGAGAAGGAAGGTGACAGCAAGACATTTGTTCGAGAGCTGCGAAGCGCTGGTTTCTCCTTTGAATGCAAAACACAGACCCGTGACGAGAACAGTCCTGTTTGCGAGGAATACAAAATGTACTATGATCACCTCAGGGAAATTTGAGAGGCGCAACCCGCATCTCTGCCGAGGGAGACTGCGAATGGTGATTCCTTCTGGAACGCGGGTGGTGGAGCTTGTTGTTATTCCAAAGGGTGTGCATGGTAGCGGAGGCCAGGTTGTGGAGGCAGTGGTTGAGCCGGATGTCGAATGCCCATCTTCCAGCCCTGGGGTCTCGATCAAGCAAGGAGCTGTCAATGGAGGTCTAGAATTGCCGGAGAGGTACTGGAGTGTACAGCTTCAAACGCTAGCTGGGCAAGAAGCCCCTTTTGTCTACACAGATTCAGGCAAATCATTCAAAGCAGGCCCGCTTCAGGTTTGCTGGCCCCGAGCTCATTTCGTTGCTTGCTTTGCCATCGCACTTGATGCCATATGATTTTCGGGGAACAAGAAATTCAAAAAGCAGACAGCAGAGTTCTATTGCCAACGATATACTTGGTGCATTCTAGGGCTCCTAAGGGTGGCATGACCCCGACAGTTACCTACCTACCCTCGCAATCTAGGCAGCGTTTGTGCCCTGCTAGGAGTTTGGACCAATCCTAGCTTTCCCCTGCCACTACAGTTCTTGCTTGACACTGGTGAAATAGAGAGCAACCGCCAAATCGGTCTTCTTGATCAGACCTTTCCCCTTGTTCCGCGCAGACTCCTTTCTCACTCGCAGAAGCCTGCTTTTTCTCCCGAGCGATCAAGCTATTACTCTTCCTGACTCTCTCAAGTCTATCACCATCCCCAAGTCGATCATCATGGGTTGCCACGAGAATGTCAGCAGTAAGTCGTTGTTGACCCCTTGCGAGATAGGTACTCATCCTCCTTTACCTTTCCCTCAAGAACTCAGCTAACCCTCGTTCTCTTCCCTCCCAGTCGATTATCGTTGTGTCAACACCAGTCACAACCACTCCCAGCCCCCTCCCTTCAACCTCTCCAAAGCCTACCGCGCCTCCGACTGGGCCAACGACAAGCCCCGCGTCGAGAATTATCTCCACACCAGCGACCTGACAGGTGCGACCAAAATGCTCAGGATCCACCACGATCCCAAGACCCAGTTCCCCCCCGATGTCTACGACTGGATCGTCAAGATGTACCCCAACCCCTACAAGCCCGCCGGCACAGTCTACAACTACCTCGCCAAAGTCCTCACGATCAACACCCCCGACGTCCAGGATTACAGCGGTTTCGAGGGGCTCCAGCTGAACCTCATGGTGGTCGCCGTCGCCCATGACTCCCCCGTCATCGAGGTCTACTACGAGATCTGTCGCCCGATGGAGAATCAAGCCAAGAGGGAGGAGATGCGGAAGCGCGGGCTTGCCTGGGCCAGACCCTTGATCACCGACGAGGCGATTGGGTGTTCCTGGCTGTCGATCACCGAGGAGAGGGAGTTTCTCGAGGTTCGTGCCGCCCACAAAGTCAGAATCACGGGCACGCCCGAGGGGGTTCACGCCTTGTTCTACGACATGTTGATCAAGGTTCGGGAGAGCAATGGGATGATCATCAAGATGGCCATTGAGCTGTCGAGGGAGTTCACCAAGGGTTGAGTTTGGAGCCCGAGGAAGAACGGGATGTAAGAATGAGGAACTGCATGTACAATACCACCTGAAACCTTTCCTGGGTGGGTACGGCAACTTGTATTCAAAGTCTTGGACTCGGGGACTACAAAACCCGTCAAGAGATGTTTACAGAAGTCAGATACCTTATCACAATCAAACCCAGTACCAAACAATACAACAAAGGATCACCCCAAGTTTGGAATTTTACTTTGTTTGATTGCACGTGGCTAACACTACTCAAGATCTCGGTTCTCCATGAGTCCATCATGTATCCCATATCCCTACACCGTCCTAGTGGAAGTCCATCTGCCACACGGCTCTCGCGCTTACTCTGTCCAGAGCATCATTGGTTAGCAAGATGGTCGACCTGGAGCGAGCAGAGAGCAAAGCAGTAACTTACGGAGCTCGAACTGGCCGCCGTTGTTGGTGATGCGCTCGGCAAGGTTGACGTCATGCCAGTTGACATCGCCGTTCATGTTGGTGAGACCGGCACGGAGAATGGGAACGTTCTCGTCACCCTCCAGCTGGAAGGTGATACCCTCGGCGCTGGCGGCGAAGTCACCACCCTCCCACTCAAAGAGGCCTGCGGAGACAAACCGTCAGCAACTGATAAAAGGCAAGCTACATGGCCGGGAGACAGGATGGGACCTACCGTCGTTGTTGCCAAGGACGGTGTTGAGGTCGAGCTCAGCGTCAACCCACTCGCCCTCACCGTTGTCGAGACGGGCACGGAGGATGTGGCCGTCATCGACGCGGATGTCCTGGGCAGAGAGATGGAAAGACATGGTGTCTGATGTGTGCTTGTTATGTTGGTGAAGAGTGTTGATTTGGTGAGTTGGTTTGGAGGTTGGAGATGTTGAGATGGAAGTTCTGGAAGAGTGGCAAGAGCGGGAAGGTATTTATGCTTGTTTCCTAGCTACCCTACCTGACCCAAGAGAGGGAGGGGGGGGGGGGTCATCCCCACCGGGGCTCCATTCAGCGGTATGTGCCGCATATCCGAACGAGACCCGTGTCTTGTTCTTGCTCGCTGCGGAGGCCTCAGCTGGTTAACCTCCACCTTCCATTATTGCAGGCGGGTGTTGTTTGGAGAGAAATGGAAATCACGCGATGAATCGATGCCCTTGGCGAGGGGGTAAAGGGGGGGATGGCGGAGGAGGGGCGAGATGACATTGTGGAGCAGACAACAAATTGCTTGGCGGAGGGGTTCATAGTTTCATTGTCTGGAGAGATGGCAAGCGCTTGTCTAAGATATCCATCTCTTGGGCCGCATAAGAGGGGGGTGGCCAAGAGGGCACTGAAGAGACGCAGGCGAGAGACCACGCAAGCAGAGTGGCGCCATGGCTGTTGGAAGAAACGCAGTTGGGCTTCAGATATCCAATGGCGCCGGCGCGAAGGTTACGCTACGTCGTCTGGGCTGCGGGCTGGGCGGGAGTTGGCGGGAGGTGATGCAGTTCTGTGGATTCTGTGGGTTCTGGACGTTTTGTGGAGTTCCGAGTTCCGACTCAACCCTCAAGGTGCCCAACAAGGAGCCCGCTGCGGCCTGGACACGACCTCATCTCTAGGTATCCAGACATTCCCAAACATGGATTACGCGAGTTACTGGAAATGTTTGGTCATTTCTCCCGCGCGGCTAGCCATCATGTCACCATGTCGTCTTCGTTTGGAAATCACGGAATCTCAGTTGCGACACCCACTCATGTTGCTCGGCATCCAGCTCCGACAGGAGAAGGGGTTAACGGGGACGGCGGCCTCTCATCCACTTTGCTCCTCCCCATTACATTCGTCGCGATATTGAGCTCGTCCTACCATGACGTCACAGCTGAATGTTTGCATTTGTCGCACGGGAAGCTGCAGATGCAAAGCCGTGGAGTCGTGAAGATGGTCGTTCTTGACACTCATGCCAGGAGCTCTCAGCCGGTCATCTCATGTTGACAAACCGCTGACCAACCGCTTTTTCAGTCCCGACAACTGCGAAAGCTGCCTAGACAGTCCTCCACCATGAGACTTGAGTCGCAGCCTTGTCGTCGCAAGTGGCGTTGTAGGACCGATACAGGCATTGACTGACTTGAGAGGTGTCGAGATCCTATCATAAGGGGATACTTGTCTGATATTTATACTCGAAAACGCCTCTCATCTATTACTCCCAGCCCAGATCTTATTTGTCGTCCTCACGATAGTCACTTTCCTCCAGCATGTTTCGAGCCTTCTGATTCATGCACATACGTTTGTATTCACAGCGACTTCAGATGCCAGTTGACTTCGGGAGATATTCAACGAGCTCAGAACATCCAGCAGCTTTATTGAGGCAAATATGATCCTGAAGTAATGGATACGGGGTACGGCTTTCGAATTGCCAGTAATCATGACTTGCGACACTAGCTATTCACCTACACTTCATATCTCAGCACCGGTAAATGTCAATTTCATTTTATAAAGAAGCTCTTGCTTATCATGTTGACTGAACAAAAACAGTTCCCTGTTCGTGGTTTACCCATGGACCTTTATCAGCGGCGCGTGGATGATCAACCCAAGCTTGTTGATTTGAGCACCGTACGAAAATATGAACTAAAAGCTATAAGTAGGGTGCTCAGCCAGCGCTGAGTGGATGATCTCGCTTGTACCCTTCTATATCGGGTGTCCTGTTCATGACAAGGTCTTGTGTTCCTAGAAATACAACTATGTCCCGACTTGGCTGGCACTTGGCTCTGCGGACGGACGGGATACCTAAACAATTCATAATAGTCCAGGCGGACCAACAACGGCCGTTACCTAATTGAATAGACCCAACTGGGTCAAGGCGCACCTCATGAGCATTTGCTTAATGCCTTGTTATGTGGCATACACTAGGGTAGTATTGCAATGAACAACCAAAACAGAGATCGACCCCGGCACTAACACTCGTTCCTAGGCATACAAGAGTTCCGTGCTGAGCTCATACCTAACATGGTCATCAAGCACGTGAAGCAACATGCTGGGTTGGCATTGAGTCGGTTGCCGCTTGCAAAATAGGTGCTTGGCTCATCTCCTCTATTTCAATACCAAACGGCCGATTGCGTGCTGCCAAGGGGATCTGCGGGTAGCTTGACTATCACGACAGCGTCATTGTTTGACTTGTCACCACCGAGCCTCGAGTCACAGATCCTGTGGCTGCAGTCTCCCAGACGGCAAGTGGGCTGATTGCTATGACAGTTTCGATCGTCTGTTGGGCCGTTACTAACACAAGCACCTCTCGGGTTCCCCACGGAACTTGTCGGCAGCATGGTGATACCGATGCCTAGATGCTGTGCTGAAGCTGAAGCTACACAACCCTTTTGGTTGAAACGTGCAAGCCGCGCCCAATCTAGCGTCGGGTAGGTCAAGATCGAGATGATCAAACTTGTTCAGGCGCCTTCTGAGTCCTGACGGCTGTTACATATATATGATAGATCATGGCACTTGACTGGCAGCCATTGCTCCTCACCACGGAACACAACATCCTGCCAGTACAGCAGCTTCTCCATTCACCTGCTTCTCTGCAGCTGTCGCGCACATTCTGTGCATCTCCCGTCTCATTATGCACTTCCCCCAAGGCTGGAGCATCCTGCTGTGCCTTCTCGTGTCCGCAACATCAACCGCTGCTGCAAAGGCGGACCCGGCGTCTGCAGCTAGACGTTCCAAGGATGCCGAAAATGGCATTGTTCGCTTGCCGATGAGAAAACGAAGCCCCAGTCAACAGCAGTCCAGATCAAGCCGTGGGTTCCCTCATGCACAGCGCCTTCCGGCGAAATATACTTCCGACTACTACAGCACAAGCACAACATCCTCCGCCCCGCCTGCAGCTACACTTGCCCAGGCCAACCTGACCAGCATATTCAAGGAGATGGCCTATGGCATCAAGAGTGAGTCCGGCCTTCGTGAGAGGATATGGCACATGCTAACAAGCAGGGCAGTGTGGATTGGAGAGCCTGCTCAGGCCGTGACCCTCGACTTCGATACTGGTTCTTCCGAAACATGGGTCAGTCCACACTGCACCATGGTTGGTTGGAATCCGTCCTACGAGAAGCTCTGCCGGTCACTGGGCATGTATCTGCCACAGCAGTCGGAAACTGTAATCAGCATGAACAGGACCTTTCCATCCAAGTACATCACGTACGGCAGCGGGGAAACACACATTGAATTCTACAAGGATGCCATCAGCTTCAACGGTGAGCGAGACCTCATCCAGCCGGTCGTTTTTCACTGTCCGCCATCACAGGCACTGACGAGCCAGACAGATCCATCCGAGTACTATGACGACGAAATGTTCTCGCTCAGGCAGCCGGTTCAGTTTGGAGTGGCGACGTGGTCGTCGGGCATGATCTCGGGCATTTTTGGAGTGGCATATGGAGAGGGATACAACCAAAACTACAGCGGCATAATCGATGCCATGTATTCACAGAATCTGATTCGAGACAAGGATTTCAGCTTCTCGCTTGGAAGCGTAGATGATGAAAATGGTAGGTTTCTCATTTCATCATCACATGTCTTTCGTTGCCGGCATTCTAACAGTTCGATCGTGTCGCTCTAGGCGAGATTGTCTTTGGCGGTGTCGACATGGCCAAATTCAGAGGGCCCCTCCACGGCGTTGAGATGGCAAGCCAGCTCAACCAGGAAGAGGATGGTTACTACCGGTACTGGATCAACCTCACCTACATCGGCGTCACCCAACCCGGGTCGTGCCTGTCCATGCCTGTGACCGAACACAGCTTCGAAGAACGCTTTCTCCCCGATACAGGCACCACTCTCACTTACGTGCCAAACCATGTATTCGAAAACATCAAAAGGTTCTTCCCAGACGCCGTGGACAATGCAACATACGGTACCATTGTCGATTGTTCCCACCTCCATGCCGAGGGGAGCGTTGATTTCGGTTTTGGGAACCAAACCATTCGTGTGCCCTACAGAGACTTTATTTTCCAGCTTGAACCAGGTGTGTTTGGTGACAACGAGGAGACCCTCTGTCTCCTGGGCGTTGTCCCTTCCTGGGATCAGTTTTACATTCTTGGAGATACGTTCCTGCGGTCGGTATACGGTACGTCTGCCTCATTCCATCCGAGACTTGACAACCTCTGACGCAGCTCAAAGCTCTTTTCCGACAGAAGGAGCACAAGATCTACTTTGCTCAATACCAAAACTGCGGCACCAACATCATATCGACCCATGGCATCGGCCAGTTTCACGGCGATTGTGAAGAGGGGTCCGACGCGCCCTCTTCGGCCGACGACGACTCGAAACATGGGGAGCTCTCCTCGACCTCCTCAGAAAGCTGGGTGATGACACCAGCCTCGAGCTCTTCTTCCTCGTATTCAGCCTCGAAATGCACCTCGTACTCTACTGGCGCCTACTCGGCCGTCCCCACTTCCACCAGCAGCTACGACCCCTGGACCGAGGAACCTTGGGGAACCACCACCACCATGATTTGGGACACCGCCAGCAGCACCTCAGATATCTCCTGGGAAAGCTCCACCACCACAGATGATTCGTGGTCTTGGACGACGGATGATTCTTGGTCCTGGACAGACAGCCTCTCCACCTCCCTAGTCAGCATCGAGTCCGACTTGACCGGCACAGACTGGGATTGGACCACCACTCCCATTTCCATGGAATCGATGCCGACAATTGGCACCGAGGATTGGACATCGCTTGATTTCGAGACGTGGACGGACGAGGACAAGAAAGTGCATGTGACGGGAAAACCTGTCTTGGGTCAGGGCGGTATCCCAACAGTGAGCCCGACTTTGAGACGGCGCGGGAAGAAGGGAAGAGTCGACCGGTCCTCCCCGACAGATGCGGCGGCCATGAAGCCGGCGATGACGGTCAGCACGGGGCCGAAGGAGACATTGGTGATTGATCCTGGAAATGGCAAGGAAAAAGTGACGGTGGTTGGTGGTGCTGTGCAAGGTCAGTAACCAGGGTTGAGTTTAATCACAGAAACGGGGAGAGTAAGATAGAGTTAAAAGAGTCAAAATAGAGAAAAGGACTTTGTCCCGGAACAATTGATAGGTACCTTGGACAATCCAAGCACGGCTGTGACATGTTGTTTTTTGTTTTGGCTATGGAAAAGAAAGAGGGTTAGGGGACTTGTAACTGACGTCACATGATGTTGGCGCCTAAATTATGGCAGAACCAAGTCAATTAACGCGTCCAAGATACGAAAACTCGAGACTCCAAACGCACGATAAGGCAACCTGGCAACCTGGCAACCTGGCAACCATTTTCCAAACACACATAGACAACCACATGTAATTTGACATCTCCCACATCTCGAAACACTACCAATTGCCCGCCATGCCGGCAAAGCTCAATGTTGAGACTCTCCAATCAGTCTTCCAAACGCGACCAGACATCCTCGCGGGCATCCAGGAAGCCGCCGGTATGCCATGTCGTGCACCCCATGATGTCGGGGCCCAGGGAGAATACTGACGAGCAAAACACCAGACACTCCAGCGCGTGTCGGACTGTTCAACGAGATCGCCAGCTTTGTATACGAGCGCATTGCCACGGCCTCCGACCATGGCTCTACACAAGACGACGACGGCCCGGCCGCCAAACGAAGACGGGTCGATATCGCACAAGTACGGCCGTCGCAACAGACACAGTCGAACGGGAGTACGGCGGGAGGAGGTGTAAGTCTTGACGCAGCTACCTCAGAACAGGTGCTGCTCGAGGTCAAGGATATTTCCGCATCGGCGCCACAGCGCAAAAAGTACGATGTGTGCTTCACCAAGAACTTTTTGTACGCAAGCGTGTCCGGCAGCTCTACGCCTGTGCAGGGGATCGTGTATCCATGGAAGGAGATTGGTACGTTGCGTTCTCTGTCCTCGGTCTGTCTTTGTTGGGCAATTACTAATTTTTGTGCTTTTCACCGCCGTACAGAGCACATCTTCTATCTCCCAGTCCCCGAAAAGTCCACGGTTCAACACAACTACGTCGTCCTCCCCCGTAACAGCTACCTTCCTACTCGAACGGCCAAACCCGCCGCGGGTGCTGCGCCGACGAGTCCAACCGCTCTCGAACCGTTCGTCTTCACTGTCCCCGGGGCAGCTCCAAAGCCAGGCTCGATCGGGGGCGCCTCAGCCAAGACGGCAGAAGCCGTGTCGGACAGTTACAGTACACTGTTCCACTGGGCGCTGGCAACCTCTCTCAAATCCGCAGGGAACCACTCTTGCAGCATTGTTGCGTCAGACCCAAAACTTTTCCACTCGGTAACGAGGCAAGCCCATCGCCCCACGGAAAAGGCGGTGCACGTCAAGGCCTTCAGGGGGAGCAAAGATGGGTACCTGTTCTTCTTGCCGACGGGGATACTGTGGGGGTTCAAGAAGCCGATTGTGTTCTTGCCACTGGATAGGATCGTGGCGTTGAGCTTCACTTCGGTGCTGGCGAGGACGTTCAACATTGTGGTTGAGCTCGACGTGGACGAGTCGGGCAATGTGGAGAAGGAGATTGAGTTTGGCATGCTGGACAAAGAGGACTTTGAGGGGATCAATGCTAATTACGTGCAACGGCACGGTCTGGCGGATAAGAGCATGGCTGAAAAGCGCAAGGCCAAGAGGGAGCTGGCTGAGAATAATAAAACCACTGGTGGGGAGGATGATGCTGATGGAACCGGGGGAGGGGAGGCGGAGAATGCGCAGACTGCGGGCATGACAGAGCTGGAAAAGGCACAGTGGGAGGCAGAGCAGCGGTTACAGGATGAAGAAGATGAAGACGAAGAGGATTATGATCCTGGGAGTGAGGGTGAAAGCGAAGGAAGTGGGACATCGAGTGAAGAGGAAGACGATGATGAAGATGCAGAAGGCGGCGAGGATGATGATGATGATGAGAATGACTTGGATGGGGAGGGCATGGATGAGGATTAATGGTTGGATACTTGGCTGGCCCTGAGATTCGTTTGGTTCATGAAGATAGACCCGAGTCCATACAAAAACATAGACAATCTCTCATGAAGACCTCCGTCTGGTCAGGGGCAGACAACATTTCGATAACACAGTGCCGCGTACTGTGTAAACACGGTGTTTTTAAGGCCTAGGCTGGAGGGAGCTACCCCGCGGCCGCCTTGCCTGGGGCTTGTCGCGTCGACAGCTCAGCATTATTTGGAATCACGACATCAACAAACAACTCTCTCTCTCTCTCTCTCTCTCTCTCTCTCTCTCTCTGTGTGTGTCTCGAATGCCCGAAGATGGCGTTTCCAAACCAGTACACACACCGCAAGGTTGCCGAGACCTCGGCTAAGTCATGCGAGATTTGCTACAAGCCCAGCTCCAGTGTCCTGATCACATCGGACAGCAAAGACTGGTTCTACGTCTGTCCTTCTCACCTCAAAGACACAGGCTTCTGCACCCCCAAGATCGACCATGCCGCCATCGAAGCGCGCAAGAAGAAGGAGCTGGAAGACGAGATTGAGCGGGTGAAGAAGGAGTACGAAGAGAAACAGAAGAAAAAGAAGGAAAAGGCAGAGAAGAAGGAGGACAAGGAGGACAAGGAGGACAAGGACGAGAAGGATGACACCAAAAAGACAGATGACAAGGACAAGGACAAGGCGGCAGCAACGGTTAGATCCGCCGACTCTCCCGCCTCCTCCTCCCTCCTTCCCCTGGCGGTGTCGTGTCGTGTGCCTGTGCTAACGGTCTTGCAGAAAAAAGAGGAGACATCAGTTTCACCAGCCGAGGAGGAAGAGCCTCGCGTGTTTGAACTCAAACCGTCAGTTTCCCTCCATGCTTTGCTTCCGTGAACCTTTTCTGGGCGAAACAGGGCCGGGTGCTGACCAAGTTTTCTGCAGCACCTTTTTCCAACAGCGGCTGTTCAAGAAGAGGCAAGCCGAGATCGCCAAACGGAACCGAGAAAGACTGCGCGATCCAAACTATTTCCCTTCGGTGCCCAAGAACTTGCCTTGATATTGCTGCTTGGTCTGCTGCAATCTCCGACGGCGAATATGCAAAAGATGATCATCGTCCTACACATGTAGGTGTCTGTGTATCTTCAGGGCCGACGATATCCACCTCAACCACAACCACAAATCTTGGTTCATTGTTGCACGGAGGAAACGGTGCTGGATGATGGATTCAAGTTCGCACTCCTGGACCACTCAGAGACGTGGTTCCCAGAAGGGTAACAATTCCCACTCGGCACAGAGGAGGGGGGCAAGCAGGGGTTTTGAGAGAAGAAAAAGGTTACCGAACCGAGTGCCCTGCGGCGCAGCAAAAGAGAGAGGCCACCACCGTTTTGCCTAACTGTTGTTGGCAGTTGTTGCTGCTGCAACTCATATCCCGCACACCGTTTTTGGGTCGTGCAGCCATCCAAGCAGGTGGGGTGTGTGAGCTAATGCAGCCCTCCTTCTTCGTAGGGCAGGATAAGGCAGGATAGGGCAGGATAGGGCAGGCAAAAGAATGCCAGGGTTTGCTGCACAGGGCGAGTAGAGAGTAGGGGGGGTGCCAACAGCGAGGAGAGTTGATGGGTTAGGGTTACACGGATAAAATCAAGACGTTTATCTCGAACCACCAACCACGCAACATACATATATACCGAATACCCTGTCCCATGGCACTTGTGCGAGCGGTTCAGCCCTTTTTACACCATCGCGTAGGGGCCGAATGCGAGGTGCTTCTCTCGCAGGCCTCTTGGGGACCGAGACGAGAGCAACAAAGACAGGAACGAAAAGGTTCAGGCACTGACTGACTGGCATTCTTGTTGGGGGCCATCCTGGAGAGAATTGGTGGTTTCTGCCGAGTTTTGGGTAACCCTGTTGGCGATCCCCCAGTCTTCTCTGATATTTTTTTTTCCCCTGCTTATATGCAAATAGTATACTTTGCCGTGCCCCTCCGCCTTTTTCATGTTTCCTTGGACGTGGGGTTTCTCTTTGCTGAGTCAAGTTGCTGCTGCGCCGTTGGCCTGCTTCTTCTTCCTTCCCTCCATCATCACCACAGATCCTACGACAGTAGCATTCGGTTCCACAGAAAGAAAAAAGAGCTAGCTAAACGGGCTGTGCCGTCACCTTGCCTGGGGCGATCGCGGGGCCTTGTGGACGGTGGAGACTGGGGTGGGAAGAAGGTGGTTATCACTGGTCGGTTGAAACGGTATGAATCGTCGCATTGCTCCTACATGGCTCCCTCCCAAGGCATACCCGAGCTGGAGGAGGATCACTAGTAGGTTAGGTATTAATGCCATGTCAGACGGTTGTTGATCTACCTACCTAGTCAGAGAAGCACAGGATCAAAACTGCGTCGAACTGGGGAGGGCGGGGGGTACGATCGACGACGGGGCGGGAGGTTTGAGGCATGGAGGACCACGGGAGCGGAACATCCTTCCGTTCAGTGCAGCAAGTAGGAAGGCAGAAGCGACATTTTTCCTCTCATATATTTTGTGCAGCGTGCAGGACCAACGGCATGACGCCGCGATAAACGGACCGGGGGGCGGATGTGGGAGTACAACATGGCATGTATTGGAAATCCTACGCCAAGAAAGACGACCTTCACCTGCATCTGGGGGAGTGGTTTTTTTTTTTTGGGGGGGGGGGGGGGGAGGGGGGAAAGCAAGAGGCCATCTTGTGAGAGTTGCTCGGTCAGTGGTAGGGAAGCTCGAAAATGAGCATTTTCAAGGGATCATCTAACCTATTAACCAGAAACCCGGACCGAGGAGCTTCATTTTCCTCATTGATCGATGAGAGAGGCTGCTACCTAGCGTGCTTTTTGCCCCATATAAAACGGCTTATACAACCACCGTCTTACGCTGACCCTGGCCCAAGGTAGGTTGGTACTTACTCACCAAATCCCAACGTATGGACATCTTTTTTGTTTAATCTCGTGCCGTGCTAGCTATCTATCCGAAAGCTGATTGTGTGTTGCCGTCGCATTCAACAAAACAAATCCCGGGCCGGTCTCTTGGCTGATTCTAGGTATGTTTGAAACTGAAGAACTGTGCATGAAGAGGGAGGAAGTGGTGATGGTGTGGTGATACAAAGCCCCAAAACTAACGACTTTATCCAAGGGCACGCAGGGAGGGGGGGGCGGAGGGGGGTAAAGGTCAGGGTCAGGGATCTTGATGAATTCTAGAACCCAAACTCCTTGTCTAGGCAGGTACATACATCACATATATTCCACCCTGTAGGGATGGAAATATCTGCTTCTTACATTATCTCTGCTGCTGCTACTGCTGCCGGCAACCCAGGTCATCAGCTGGTTCATGGCTTCTGGTCTTGAAGCAGCCTAGTGCTTACCCTCGATCGATTTCATCAAACCTTGCTCTCTGCCCACCTCCCCCTCTCACATCACACAATATCTTGCATCTCCGTTGCCAAAATGTGACTTGTCATCTTCTATTATGATCAGGTGGTATCAACGACAGGCTTTTTTTTTTTCCCCACGCACCTCAAACCGCAACGGCTAAGATCAGTCTCACCCACCCCTTTTCCTTTTGTTCTAGGGTATTATCATGAAAGAGGATGAACGGGTGGGACGGGTACCGAGGTGAATGGGTGATCGGTGATCGGCGGGACCCAAAAGAACAAGAAGTCGTCATAGAAACCAAGAAAGATCCGAGTTGTCATGCATATGAGACAACAAGTGTGGAAGCCTCGGATCGGTAAGGTTCACTCAATCAAAATGGCGACATGCTCGGGAGGAAACATGATCTGGGCGGACATGTTGAACCGTGAACCCGCCTACCCGGCGCGGGAAGCCAGCACTTGTTTTCCGTCAGCAACCATTCTGACTGAGATCGGATGACCGTTGCGTGGTGAGCGGTGGTGTGCATAAGGCAAACATACGACGAGCTGACTCGATTCTGGAGATGATGCAGACAAGCAACAAGAAGCATGGGGACCATGATCATGCAATGCGAGCGGCTTACAAGTGACGACGCCATGACAAAAATGCCATGACCCTGCTTTACCAAACCAGGCTTGGCTCTCCATCATGAGCAGCAGAGCCGCAAAGTTGGCCATCTGCCTAGAACCAAGGCTGTGAAGGCTATACTGTGAAAATCAAACAGACTGGTTCAATATTTCTGGAGTGCCGCTCCGCTCCTATCCCGAGTGAGAAGAACCAGAGGAAACAGCACATACAAGGTGGTCGACACAGACCATCAAATGCAACACTCTACATGATATCAACCCCTTTCTTCCACATCACCACTGCACCCTCTTCCACAATGAACTCGGTTACACCAGTGCCTCGTTCCCCCCACGGCAAATGCTCGTCTACTGAAACAGATATCGTCTACCGTCACAATAGACTCAGCTGGTGCACTTACCCACGAGTCGGACAATGTGTGTGTGTGTGTCTGTGTGCATGTGTGTTTGTTCACCTGCCACCCGTGCATGCCGTCTCGCACTACCAAAATTGCAACATATCCCTCGGATCATCCGAACTGCGGATTTTGTGATGTGATGGTGTGCTTGGCGGTGTGCCTTGACCTGGTGGGAGGTAACTAGATCAGAGGAGATTCTCAAAGGTTCTCTGCCCTCTGCCCCGGAGGCATCCGTATTCCCAGCGCAGCCATCCGGCTCGCTATCTCGTTCGCTCCGGCCGTGCCATTCTTCCCTGCGCCCATCACGGCGACCTTGTCAACCTTGCTCTGCTGCAGGGAAAAGGCCGGGGCTACCCAATCCCCGCAGCTGCACTTGAAACCCCTCCAGGAATACCTCCCCACTGATGACCCGCACTTTGGATGCGGGCAGTTGAGCCTCCCTTCCAGTTCCCCCAGCTCAAGTGTATCCCTCATCCATGACAAGGCCTCCACAAAGTAGTGCGGGCAATCCTCCTTGGCCTTATTCCCCCTGCCTTGATGCGGTACAACAAACGGCTCCGTCGCCAGCCTCCTGCGACACTTCTTACACCTCAACTCAAACGCCCCCCCTCCTCCCTCTTCGTCTTGTTTCTGTTGCTCCTTTTCAGCCTCCTCGTCCTCAAACCGGATCCAATCCGGCGCCCTCCCCACCGCCGCGGCTGTCTCCACCTCCTTCTTATACAACCACCTCTGATACTTGACCTCCTTCTCCACCGCATCATCACTCCCGGCCGGACACCCCATCTCAACCCACAGCTCCAACTGCTCCATAAACCCCTCGTTCGGCTCAGCAATCGGCCGCGTCCCCCTCACCCACTGCACCGCCTTTGCGACCGCCTCCTTGGCATCAACCGCCCCCTTCCCAAGCCCAAACCGATGGGGATGTTTCCATAACAAATACGCCACTATGGCCGTGACAGACCTGGATTTCCCCATGGCGCAGTGAACCAGCACCGCTCCCTTTGCCGCCTCTTCTTCTTCTTCTTGTTGCTGTTGTTGTCCTTGTTGTTCTTGTTGTTGTTGCTGCTTCTCCTCGGTGTAGTCGTGTCCGTATAACCCCCGCTGGATAAACCTCACCATCTTGGGCAGATGCACCAGGATATCCTGGTCGTCCATGTCGTCAATGTCGATGGACATGTGCTGCAGGGATCGGTAGGCTTCATTTTGGAGGCTGTCGAGCGAGTATTTGATGACGGAGAGGACGTGGGTGATTTTGTGCTCGGTGATGACGCGGGGGCGTGTGACGCCGAAGATGCTGTCGAGGCCGAGAACGTCAGTCTGTGAATTCCAAACACACACACACACACACACACAGAGAGAGAGAGAGAGAGAGAGAGAGAGAGAGAGAGAGAGAGAGAGAGAGAGAGAGAGAGAGAGAGAGAGACAAAAGGAAAGGTTTACCCTCCCACAAACAGCTCTTCCGAGCCGTTTATCCTGCTCAGTACCATGTGTCGTCGCTTTCTGTTGTCGATATGTTTAGTTGATGCGGCGCAAAGTTATTTTTATGACAACAAAGACCAATTCGGCGTGTGATTGTGATTGCTGTATCGATGTGGTTTGTTGCTATATTGGTAGATAGCGGTTTCGGGTGGATCGATCGTGGATTTTTCTGCCCCGCAGTCGTTAGTTCGTTCACTGAAGGGAAAAATGCGGGGCAGGCCGCAAAACTGACAGCCCCAAAGCGGCGGACAGCGGCGGCGGCGCCTGGTAAGGTTTAGCGGCCCCCCTCTCGGCACCACCTCTTCTGGACCCCTGAAAAGTTCCAAAGTGGGCCCCTCACAAATCCTCCCGTTTCCGCTTCTTCTTTTCCGGAGTGATGATAGAACAGTGGATCATGAATTACTTTTTGAACTCTTCGTAATAAGAGATAAAAGACCAACCGTATGTACGATATACAACCCAGCCACTGACAACACCTATCTCATTCGCCCCTGGTATCGATCCTCACGCTTTTCCCCATCAATGCTGCCAAGAACAAAATGTACGTGATGGTAAATGCTTGATCAAATGACAAAAATGACAAAATGCCCTTCCGCTCAAATGTACTCGTGATAAACAACATCCCCCTTCCACTCCCACCATGCGCCAAGACAGACAGCCAGCCAGGCTTGAAGAGAGAAAAAATGTGTAAAAAGCAGAAAACTGGACATGAGATTCATTTGTCGTCATCACGTAAAACTGCCTGTCCTCGGCTCGTCATAACCGCCCCCCCCTCCCTTCCTTCTGCCAAGAGTGGTGTGAAGCCCTGCATAGCCCTCTGGCCAAGGTTCATCCAGACCGTTGGGGTCGGAAAAAAACAAGGCCTGACGACAGCATCCAGCCATCTGCAAGAGAAGCTGCCATGCAGACGCTGGTCAACGTGCCATTGGTAAACAAGAGGGTGGTGGTGGTGGTGTGGGGCCCTGCTCGTGAGCGATATCTGGAAGCCATACATACAGAGAGGACGGCTGACAGCCTGCATGTTTGCCGTGTTTTGGCCCGGTTTGACGGTTGAGGTGCGCCGTATCTGCCCTCCTTTCCTCTGAACAATTTAACCCAAATAGGCCCCGTTCTGCGAAGGTCCCGCTCCATGCTGCCCCGACTTGGCGCAGAAGAAGAGAGGTCCGCCACACCGCGTGTCCTGAATGGAAAACCCGAAGTGCGTCCGACCTTGACCCTGGCGCCCCTAGCTGGTAAAAAAGGGCCTTCTGATGCTGTCACTGGTCGACCCGTCCCATCAGAGATTTCCCCGGCCCGGCAATCTGCCCTGTTTTGATCCTTCCCGCTTTATTCCCATACTGATGGCCCCGTCCCTCATCTACCAACACTCACACCGTCTTCTTCGATCATGCACGCGTTCTCGAGCATATTCGTCCACTTGCCACTGGTGCCGGCGTGGCTGTGCTTGAGATGCTGCCGAAAGTGGTCGGCCCGGTAGAACTTCTTGCTGGCATTGCACTCGCGGAATTTGTGGACATCCTGGAGATGGCGAATCCGCTTCTCCCAGTCCTCGTCGGTGACGCTGGCGTTTGGCCCGTTGCGTCCAAACTCCTTTCCGCAGTATCCGCACGTGTCGGCTTCACCCGGTGTTGCCGTGCTGTCGTGGAAGGCCCGCTCGTAGCCCGTCAGGGCTGAACAAGACCAAGAATGCCGACGCACGTGTAGAGAGTTTTGATGTCTCTCGGCCTCATTCTTGTTCTTGAAGCGGTTTCCACAAAAGGTGCATTCATATTGCTTTTCAGCCTCGTGTGTGCTGTAAGCTCGATCAGCATGCTGTGTTTCGTCAAAAAGAAAAAAAAAGCAATTTTTTGTAATAAAAAAAACCCATACCGGAGCTCCTCTTCCGTCTCAAACTTCTTGGGCTTCTTGGGACAGCATTCACACATGTAAGGGCCCTTGAGCTTAGCGGCCAGGCTGCTCCCATTGACGTTTTTGGGCATCTCGGCCACCTTTCTGGGGGGGACCAGCGCGATTCTTCCCGTCGGCTGCTGTGCCGCAGCGGCCGCTGACCGCCCCAGGCCCATCCCGATTGCCGACCTGGGCGAGCCAGCCGTCATGCTGAGCGGTGTGCCGTAGGGGCTGCCGCAGTTCATCGGATCCGTCGGCGAGAGACCGCTGGGGCTCAGTCCCGGCGAACGACGGCCCAGCGTCATGCTACTCGTCGTGAGATTACTGCTGTAGCTTCCGCTGCGACTCACAGGGGATCTGCCTCCGAAGGTGGAATTTTGAGGCATAGAGAGCAGCCTGGGTGTGGGGGATCCGCGCGAGATGCCAGACCCATCCCGGCCAGGCCACCGCATAGAATCGCTCGCCATGGGCACATCATCGCTTGGGGGCGACGATGCACGACGCTTCTGACCCGGCTGGTAGCTTTCCCTCTCGCGCTCCCTTTCCCTCCAGGGGTCTTCTATTTTTAGCCTGCGCATCCGCGTAGTTTCCTCCATGGGAAAATCCACATCCTCGTCGCGCCCCTCGTAATCATGCCCGCCGTGCGAGAGACCTGGTCCTTCACTGTCCGTCATGGACTGTGTGCTGTGCAGCCTGTGCAAGCGCGGGGAACGCTCAAGGTCGGTACTATCAGCGGCACTCAATGGGGATCGGTAATCCATAGGTCCCGGGTGGCCAAACGGCGAAGGTCCAGGCGACGTAGCCGACATGGGGGACCTGCTGTAACCAATATCGAGGAAGGGCTGCTTGGACCTGTGGGGAAGAGATAGCGTCGAAAGGTCAGCGTGATGGGCGCGAGGGGGTGGGGGTTCGTTGTGGGATGTGCTGAGACCGGAGCGGCGTATGGTGGGCCTGTTGAGCCTGTTGAGCATGGAATTGTCAATGGCCTCGTGGCTTGGACGGAAGCTCTTCATGGTCTGGCTGATTGCGCTGAAGGATGGGAGGGTGGTAGATCTGTGTGTTTTGTTTACACTGTTAGCGATTGCACTCCTTGGACCTCTATTACAGAATCCAAAGGGGGAAGCTACCTGTTGGAGCCATAGCTGTGGTATGTCTCGTCGTAGTCCGAGTCGCGTCTGCGAAAGTCGTGGGGGCTCATGCCCAAACCGCTATCTACGCTCCCGTCATAGTTGGTATCGCGCTTCCGCATTCCCTCCCACTTTTGATGCTCCTTTGGGTCGATGGGTCCGTTGATGGGCACCAGGCGCGGTGGAGGAAGCGGTGGAGGTGCGAAGTCGGTGTCTCTGTTGCGTATCGCCATGGGATTTGAAGCAGCCGAGGGCGAGAGGTTGTCGTTAAATGGGATGCGATGGGACATGGGCGCAAAGGGACCTGGAGGGAATCCGCCATCGCGGCCTGATAAAGACGGTAGCGGCCCGCTGTTCATGGTGTCTCTTGGCCCGTGTCGCGACGGGGCCTGAATGGGAATGGCAGCCATGGTTTTTGCTCGTATTGATGGTCGACTCGAGCTCGAGAGATGACGTCCCTGGGGGCTACCAAGGACCTGAACAGCTGAACCACAGGGCCAGTGGTTCGACACCTCAGCCTTGCCACCGCCTTGGTTTTGAAGAGAGCGGCAGCTGAAACCAAGCTTCCGTCAAGCAGCAAGAAACAATGATTGCTGGTGTCCGTCCAGAGCAGGCGAGCGCGCGCGCGAGAGACAGGAGACAGGAGACAGGGAGACAGAGACAGAAAGAAAGAGACAGAGAGATGCGCCTCGGTGTTGCCGATGCACCTCTCAGGTGCAACTCGGAGAGGGGGATTGGAGGGATCGGAGGGATTGGCTGTGTTGGAGGTAAGGGTACTCTGTAAGGTAGGCGCGAGCTCAATCCGTCTTCCAGCCTAGTACTACCTAATGTCAGGGAGGTAAGGAGGAGCAGTGAAGGCGAAAAAAACAAAATAAAAAATAAACAAGAGATAAAAATAAAAAATATTATCAACAGAACATTGGAAGGGAGATCAGAGCTCTCGATGCGGCAGCGGTAGCGGTAGCATTTCAACAGATGGATGGATACTCCGTAACGGATAATGGATGGGCCCCTGGAGAATAATGGAGATGGGGACGGGAGAGGGGAGGGGGGCCCGGGGGGTGATTGATTGGTACGGTAGGTGACTGGGGAGGTATTCGAGGGCCCGGGGGGGAGGGGGGTGTGAGCATTGATCAGGTAGGTAGTGGAGGTACCTAGCCCTGGGCTGGAGGGCGGGGGCATGGATGGCAGGCACGGCAGGATGGGCGGTCTTTGACAGTGCGCGCCTGAAGGAAAAAGGAACTGGAAATTGTGGTGTTGTGCCTTGTGGGCTTCTGTCGCACGGTTTTGGCGCCATGGCGAGTCGGGTCGAGGGTTCTCCCATGTCTCAAAAAGAGGGGCAGCGGTGAGGTATTACCCAATACTCGAGACGGCGTCGAACTTGGAGTCCAAACTAATGTCGCCCTGGACGAGCTGGGCATGGCCGTGTCTTGGTCTTTTCCTTCCATGCTTTCTTCTATGACCAGCTGAGGAGGACATCTCTCTGGATACCTTCCTTATGGTTGCACTCGGTTCTGTGCCGACAGTGGCCGATGATGACAGCTGCCCTCTGATCACACACCTCAAGCAGGAGATCAGCAAGAAATCACCGTCGGCTTTCTCGGTCGTGTCAGTCTGACATTTGATTGTATGTATATTCATTCCATTCTTCAAGGCCCGGACCTTGCTACTGTACACTACACAACACTAGGCTTCAGCCCTATTGCTTTTCCATCACAGTCACCCGCCCGTGTCTCACCTCGTCGTCACCCCGCCCAGCGAGACAGATCGGGGCTTGTTGGATGCGGTTCCCTCAGGCTAGCCTGTTTGGATAGGGCCCAGGAGACCCGAGTCAGCTTGTGCGTCCGTCCACCAGCTCCCCACCACACACACCACACTGTCCACACCACACTCGGGTTTCCAAAGTCGGCAATAGGTATAAAACAACAAAACGGACACGACCGAGGGAAACACGGCGAGAGAGATGGCAGGGATAATTATCGCCCACCCCCCCCCCCCCTTCCTTTGACCAGGCCAGGGCGTCTCGCCCGTTTTTCCAGAGATACGGAGGCACTGGAGGGCGGGCGGCAGTCTGCCCTGTAGGGTTGCGGGCAACCGTCCCCGTACCACGTTGGTATTTTTGCCAGCCGTTGGCTTCCCGTCCAAGCCGGCCCGCAACAGGATTAGGAAACCACAGATGGTACCGTGGCGATCGTGATGACGGGACCGTCGAGCGGGGCTTCGCTTTGCTTTGCTCTGCTCGTAAGTGTATCTCATCGTCACCACCAAACAACGGGGCAAGAATCTGCGGCCCGTCGCCGCCCTATACTAAAGGTTGGTGTCTCGCACTCGCTTACCTGATCATTTGTGGAAGAGCTTCATTCTCACCGCCCTCACCGCCATATCCATGTTCTCAGCAGCTTTCAGCTTCTGGAGTACAAAAGGCACAGCAAGCACTATCAACCGCTTCTCGCCACTCGACACCGGCCGTATGGATGAGATATTTGGGGGCCTCGGAGCTTGACCTTGCTTCCAGCTTGGAAGCCAGCCAGCCGGGCTTACTCATCTGTGCTGTCTGTCATGTCATCCCGACGGCAATTCTCATCAGACGAAATCTGATCTTGTGTCACCAACAACCTGATACGGCGGCCAGAACCCAACCGATGTACATGATCGGAATGGAGTAGGTACCAAACGAGGATACAGTTCGGTGTGAGAGAGCATGCTGCCCGTGACGGTGCTGGGATAGTGTTGGTTGACTCCAAACGATTCGTACTGTGATGAGTTGTGATGGAAAGGAGGGGGATGGCGTTTTCGGTGGCTTCTGTGCAATGCACGCAGGGCAGAATCTCAGCCCTACCACAAGTTCGTCAGCGAGCTAGGGCCATTCTCCGTTGCTGAGGATCGATGCTTATTGGGTCAGTGTGTCCACTGGGGGATATGTCACGGCTAGGGTATCCTTGTCCTATCGGGACCGTGACACATCCCGAGGCTGAAGGTGAGCGTTTTTGTGCTCGCAAGCGACACGCCTCCTCCAGTCCTCATCTCGCTCTGTTGCCTCTAGAGATAGGTATGTACAGTACACTAACTTGTCAGCTCTCTTCGTGTTCGTGTCTTACCTATATATCTATAGGACATAGCATATTCTAGATCTGGACATGAGATGGCGCGTTCCTGTGCTTCCCCAAACGTGCGCCTGGACTCGCGCCAAGATCCGCTGCTCACCGCGCCAAAAAGTTCACGGACGCTCGGCATTTGACCATGGTGGATGCCCCGCATCTCTCCCAAGTCACCACAACCCGGCCGCGGCTCTGTGATTTGTTGTCTGGCCGCTGTTGGCGATATCTTCGACGCCGTCTTGGATTTCGCCTCGGCGACTAGGAACAAGGCCGATACGGAGTCGATACGGTGCACTTGGTAGATACGGAGCAACCAGCCCGATATCCTCCCCTTACTACTCTACGATATCGGCATTATCCGCTGAAATTTACACTACGACAGCCCTGTCCGGATGCTGGTCTCTTGAGTGGGGGGTCAGCGGGACGTCATCTCGGTGCTGGTTCAGACTAGACAAATCCCCCAGGCTAAATACTCAGACGATCGCCGACCTGTCTGTATCCCCGATCAAACTGTTTCGTTGCCATCGACTGGCCATCCGACGCAAGCTTCAACCTCACCATGGTCGGAAATGATGTGGGAGGACCAGTCGGAAGACGGTATACGGAGACAAGTCCGCATTTGCCCTGTCTCCCCACGGGGTGAAACGCGGCAGTTATCCCCCCGCGCTCTCTCTTCCGCCGAGAGCTGTGTGTTTGATACAGGTTTTCAGGGGTTTGTTGAGAATGGTAGCAATAACAAAGGTGAGAAAATGACATAATGACCAGGTTCGTCTTCCGACAGCTTTAGCCTCTCTCTTTTCTCAACAAGGGCAACTCTCCGGTACTTTGTTACGCAAAGAATAATAATCCTGGATGACCAACATGGGAGAAAAAATTCCAACTGTCCCGTCTGACCTGGAGTGACATTGGTTGCCGTGGTTCTCGACCCGCTTGCGATGGCACCCTTCAACCATGCTCGACCGTTTTGATTTACCGTTCTCCAACCCTACAGGGCAGAGAGAACAAAGTCCACACAATCTCGCAGACCGCAACATGCTCGCTTGGCCAGCTTGATCCACAATCCATCCCACGCTTCCCCTTGTTCGATAGCTTCGTCTTTCCTTCCTGCCGCTGAACCGAGGGATGCATCGGTGTATTCCCCACAGAGCTACAAAGCAAAGCAATCCGTCCAATCCAACCCATCTGGCAATCTCCTGCGGCATATACAGGGCTGTCTCGAAGAGATATGATGTACGGATGGATGTACTTGATGCAAGAGTCATTGTGATTTCACCTTGCCTGTCAACTCGAGTGGTATCTTGGAGGTCTCGGTTGGGCCTTATTACCCCCAAGAAATCTCGGAGATGATACAGATAGTATACACGGAGATGATGATTAGGATATTATAAGCCAATCATTATCATTCAGCAGCTGAGATGGTTGATAACTGAATCTTGTACGTCCAAGAAACGTCTGATACCTCAATCAATACCGTCACTCTATATACCAGCCAGATCAGTCCACCTAGGGAGCCCGGAGCTCCATAATCCACTTGCTCACAGATCTGCTATCCTAGGCCTATCGTCTACCTGCAAAGGCAAGGTTTCGACCGTGAGCGTTAGAGCTGTCAAGAGCAGACCGGTCCGTTCAGTCAACAAGTACGCAGGTCAACTCCCTTATATGCCAAGAGCCTGAAATCAGCAGTTATATTCCTTTTCTTTCCTCGGCTATATATCACAGTCTAAAATATCTGGTGTATTACCACTTAACATTAACACATTATACCCTCTCAACTACATCACTTTACCCCTTTTCAAGAGAAAAAGTACTTCTTTCCTCAAGTGGTTCAGCTCGACCCGACAAGTCCAAGTACCTAGCCGCTGCTGGTGCTATTTGTGCCATCTTCCATGATGATTTTTTGGTTCTCAGACGGAATACAAGAGCTCTCAACGACGGTGCTAGATGCCAGGGACATACATGGATGACTGTTTTTGCAAATGGGGCAAAGTCATGATGTACAATTTGTCCAGCATACTGGAGGGATAACCATCCAGATCAAACCGACAAACCAAACTGAAATCTGCAGTCATACAAGGCACCACGAGAGCTCCCAGTCCTGCCGCCACATCGCTTTCACAAAGCCATAAACTCAGCCACCTGTCGACTCAGGGACAGCCACACCCCTACTCATATCAATCTCGCTCAGGCTCTCCTCCATCTCTTTCAAGGCTGCCGTCACGAACCCCACCCCCTTTGCCCTGACCTTCAACCCCCATCGGAAATCCGCCAGCTTCTTCCGGTAGAACTCAGCCTCGTCTTCCGTGGCACTGGTAGCCCACAGCAGCCCACCATACGTCCTGATATAGGCCAGAGATTTCGGCGCGGCAAACCACCAAAACGCCTGGAGATGCTCCGGCTTGAGAGCATCGACAAAGGCAACAGCCCTTTCGAGTCTGGCCCGCGCAGCATCGCGGCACAGAGCTATGAGCGGCGACGGGGCACTATCAAGGTTGCTGATGATGTGTCGATGGATAATGATTTCGGTCACAAAGTAAGAAAGGTGGAGGTAGCCGTTGGAACAGAGCTTCCTCGTCTTGATATCAGACATGCGCAATTCTGGCGGGAGAGAGTGCATCCAGTCCTTCAGCTGGACAACAAGAGGCTTGACAAGCTCCAACAGCCCCTGAAGGCCTGCAGATCTGACAATTGCCTGAACTCGAGTGTCGTGTGGTCCATACAAACATTCCTTTGCCTCTGTCATAATCATGGTTAGTCTGGTCAAATGGATGAACAAGAGTCGACCCTTCTCTACTTCGCTGCTGCCTTCTTTATTCTCGTCATCAGCCGCGGACTCGGGAAAGTCATCCAGGGTGATGTCAGGAAGCTGCCAGCATGAGGACGAAATATGGGATGGACGGCCATGAATGAGACTCCCCCATTTGTCCTGCATAAAAAGGGCCCAGGAAAGGCGGCGGCGAAGACCTTTCTCCCAGTCAGGAATATTCCAGTCGGAGCAGTCCAAGTGCAATCCTAGCTCCTCACCCAGGGCAACAATCTGGGACGTCAGGATCCATGAGTCACAGCCTGCCCTCTGCAACAGCAAGAGCGCAGCTTGTGCTGACGACAGCTTGGGTCGATGCATGACATCCATCAGCGCCTTGGTGGCCCATTGTGACAAGGCGCCGGTATCCGGTTTGGCCTGTGACGACAGTTCGCGGTCAAACTCCCACCAGTCCATGGCCAGCAGGTACACGGCCGCGAGAAGCGGAGGCGAAAACTCGGTATAGGATCGTTTGTATTTCTCCATAAAAACGCCCTTGTGGAGGATCGGGTAACTTGGGTGTACTGTTCCAAAATACAAGTCCACCAAACCTCGCCCGTGGGGGCTCACTAGGCTCTCTATCGCTTCCAGATCTCGGTCTTTATCATTGCTCAAGGGCGCATCATGGTCGGGCTTGGACAAGAAGGTAACATGGTGCGCAACACGACGAAACTTGGTGCCAGTCAAGCAGTCCTGTGATGGGCCAACTTGATGTATAATGTCGACTAGCTTCTCTTGCTGGGGAGAACTCGAGCCAATGTACTTGAAATGTGTCGTTCGGTGGAGGCCGAGAGCTTGGTCGAGGAGTGATGGGGTGGCATCCTCAGTGATAGCTTTTCGTCTCTTGCCGGATGTGGTGCTGCTGTCCACCGTCTCCGGGGAAGGCTGTCCGACACCGGAGCCTCTTTTCCTCCTTAGCTGAGGCGCATCTTCATAGGTGCAGTCGCGGTCGTGGAATATACATAGAACGCATCGTTCATGACCAGGGGCCTTTGCGCATTTCAGCTTGCGCTTGCGACAGGTATCGCAAGGACGTTCAGGTCGGGAGGATAGTCTCGCTCGATCGCGGGTTGGGGGCTCGGTAGCAAGAGTCGCGGGTGATCTCGAGTCAGAAGAAGCGTCCATTCCTGTTCACTCAACTGATCTGGATTACAATGGCACTGACGGATGCTGGGCGCTGTCCGTCAAGGAGACATTTCTGGAGCAGGTATCTACCAGATAGGTAGGTACCTGGCTTATCGCCGGTCCTTATCTCTAGTGTCAAGCCACATGATGATTCCACTGGCATTGGCTGGGCTGCCCACATTCCCGCGTGGAAGAGGATCACACCGAGCGACCAGGGTCAAGAGCAGATCTGTTGTTTGGGTAATGATGGCGATGATGGTGATGGTGAAAGGTGATGGTCTGATGGAGGTTCCCAGACGTTATTTTAAGCGTGGAACACTGGAACCTGGCAATAAGACTGGACCCACCACCGTTGAAAGCACTTTCGCTGGCTGCGGTGACGTCATGCGCGCGCTTGGAGCTCAGCCTCTACCTTCCAGCTGCCCAAACTTGACATCTTTTTCAGGCCTGATAGGATGGGTCAATCTTTCCCATTTCTAATTGATGTTGTGTGTTTGATGACTTTATGATCGTCCCTACGACACTGCTTTTTATATATTGAAGCTCTCTCTCTTCAACTCCTGCACACGTCCTCGGTTCCTTGACTCCTCGACACCAAGCTCCCACCTGCAGGCCACCTGCATGAGATCAGACAAACTTCCAAACTCAAATACAACGCCATGAATCATGTATTCCGGCGGCTGCCGCGTCAACTGACGACATCTCTTCCGCGCAGACACTCTTGTCTCCCACTCCCCCTATGCCACCCAGCCGTGCGCCACTTCTCGTCCAAGCCAGCCGAACGACCTGGGGATACGAAAGCCAGAAAACTCGACCAAAAGTTCTTGGACCAACAGGAGCAGGAAGTAAAGGTCCGACAGCACCAGATCAAAAGACCATGGCACCGCGAGGGAGCCGACAAGCCTACCGTCGACCCAAAAGGCGAAGACATCCAACCCATCACCAAAGGCAAACTCCTGACCACGCCCACTCGGCTCCTGAAACTGATCCTTCCTTTGCCCATGGGCGTCGAGAAGGACAGGCAGAACAACGGCAACAGTGACGATAAAGAGAAGCCCGATTATGCCCGTTCAATATCTCAAAATGACACCATTCAGCCCCTAGCCATACTGGTCCACCCGCAACAACCGCTATCCTACGTCGAGCGCCTCATCCAAGCCGAGCTACCACCTGTGTTGGAAGACGGTAAAGAAAAGATTCCGAGTATATATTTCCGGGCCGAGGATACCGAACATGGTGATCAAAAACCGACAAGCCGATCCGAAGCGCGAAAAAAGGACGCCGCGGGACAAGACGCGTCGAAGAGAACACACGTGGCGTCGTACTCTGGGTTGGGCCACGAGGGCCCCGAGAGGGAAGGAAAGGAAAAGCGCTGGGTCCGTTGGAGCTCGAGCACCGAGATGGGAGACTTCATCCGTGATGCAGCACGAGGGCGCGAGTTTGCCATCGAAGTCGAAGGCTATCATCTGGAGATGCGCGTGACGGTGCCGAGTTTCAACGACAGGACATTCTACATGCGATCCAGGCTGCGAAAGATGAGCCATGAGCTAGACAGGCTGGCCAAGATCAAGAAGGAGTGTGACTTGCTGGCGCATCGTGGTGCGAACCTGTTGGCCAAGGGAGGGTTCGGTATTTTGACGGGCTGGTGGGTGATTGTGTACTATGTCACGTTTCATACCGATTATGGATGGGATCTCATTGAACCAGTCACCTACCTTGCCGGACTGACAACAATCATGGGCGGTTATCTCTGGTTTCTCTATATCAGCAAAGATCTCAGTTACAAGGCGGCCATGAACGTGACGGTGTCGAGGCGACAGAATGCCTTGTATGAGGCGAAGGGCTTTGACTTGGAAAGATGGGAGCAGTTGGTGCAGGAAGCAAATGCGCTGAGGAGGGAGATCAAGGCGATTGCCATCGAGTATGATGTTGAGTGGGACGATGCGAGGGACTTGGGAGAGGAGGTTAAGGAAGCTTTGGACGAGGAGAATACCAAGAACGGAGAGGACAACCGGTCTGACGAGAAGGAAAAGGACGAGGAGTTTACAGAGGAGGAAAAGAAGAGGCAAGACAAGTCCAAGAAGAAGGATTCTTGAGATACTAGTGTATCGAATCTACCTCATACATTTGATACCTGATGTTCCAGGGGGGCTGAGCTGGCGTGTCTGTCCCGGTCAGATGTTGAATGATCGCTAGGTGGAGTGATGTTGCCCAATGCTGATGATGGATGCAGATAACAGCGCTTTAGCGAACACACTTGAGAAGCCCCACTAGAAAGAGGCAGAGAAGGGTCTGGTGTAAATTCTGATCCCTGTCCGATGTCCTCCAATAACAGTGGGGTGATTACCAAAGAAGCAGGGACTGGCTTTCCCGATGTTCCTGGATGACGGAAGATGCGCAAGCTGATCCCTGCAACCCCTCCCTGCCCCTCGTTGCGCCCGCTGGAGGCACGCAGCTGTCAGAAGCTCACATAAAGCTGCAAGCAGACATCACCCCATACATCTCATGCCTGCTGCCGCCAGCGCCACTCTGATATCGCCATGGAAATCTTCTAGAGAAGAAGGCCCGCCGCCGTCTTATTCTCGTCCTTATTAACCCGCGACCTATCAAGCTGCCTAACAGACACCATAGGTACCCCGCAGTGCACTAAACGCCCCGCCTCCATCCCTACCTACGCTTCCACCTTCACAGCAGCACCCGTGCTACAACCCTCCATGGGGTCACAGGTCATCTACCTGCCCGACGGGCAGAGCTATACCGTTACACCTGTGTTCGCCGGCCTCTTCTTCAAGTCCAATGACCTCTCTGTACACCACAACGCCTTTCCAGCCGGCTGGACCATCGTCATCCACACTGTTGACCCGGACGATGGCAGCTCTGGCAGCAGAAGCATTCCCGATAACGACTCGATACGAGCCGATGTCGATGGCAGCCCCGCGCCCCCAAAGATGTCTCACATCCACGCTTTTACAAGCCCCACCCTCCAAAACGACAGCCTCTTCATCTCGTCCATATCGAGCCCCTCGAGCCATGACTTCAAGCCAGCAGCGAGCCCTACTCGGCAGGTAGCCATGATGCTATGGGTCACGCTATGCTGGTACTTCCACCAAAAGGCTCCCCCGTCTGCCCTGACGACGGATGCCTCCCGGTTGACGCCTGCAGCTGGCAGGCCGCGTGGCGAATGGCGAGTGCGCATCAAGAGAGACGGCCTGCTGAAGGGGAGAAACCTGATACCAAAACTGGAGCGCATGGGCTTGATTGCAAGCTTCAATTCTGCCGTGGGAACCGCGCTGGACGACACAGACGACCAATGGGCCAACATGTTTGTTTCGCGCAGGTTGTTTTGGCAGACCCCCGGCCGGTTGTTCCTCTTCACGCTCCAGCCCACCACCAAGTTCACCCGATCCGGTACTGCGTCGCCGACTCCCAGCCGGCCTGGATCGCCAGCCCAGGGCGAGCGTACCATCTCACAAATTGCCGACATTTCGGATCTCCCCGGTGCGCCACCACCTACCACCCTTGCCAGTGTACCCTCTTTTCCGATCGGCCCCTTTTTCTCGGCATCCCACCTACCGACATACTACCCTCCCGCATCACTGCCTTACACCATAACCAATCACACCCGGCATCCCCTCCGCCCGAAACCTCCTCGCATGGGGGAAGTCTTTTATACCCGATTCATACCCTCGGTGAACCAGTACCTGTCCTTTAGGGTCGCCTCCATCTCACCTCATCCGGTCCCGTACCTCGGACCCACAGGTCCCAAGTCTGCAACACATACACACCTTTGGCAACTCAGCGATACAGCCTTGGTTCAACAATGGCACTCTAGTCCTCGTGTTTCGGCCTTTTGGGGCGAGTATTCGCCAAAGTTTTTGTCTAATGCATTGCAGTCAAGGCATAGCTTCCCAGCTATTGGCCTGTGGGACGGTGTGCCCTTTGGCTATTTTGAGCTTTATTGGGTCAAGGAAGACATTCTGGGGAGATATGCCGGAGGTTCTATTGACGACTATGATCGCGGTTGCCATGTCTTGATTGGAGAAGAGTGGGCACGGGGGAGAGTGCAGAGCTGGCTGACGAGCTTGGTGCACTGGGCCTTTTGTGCTGATTATCGGACCCAGAGCGTGTGCCTAGAGCCAAGGGTGGACAATGAGAGGTATGATGACATGCTTGTCTTGATGGCAGGATTGCCTAAATGGCTAACTAACTGGCTGGCTTTCTTTTGCAGGTTTATTCAACATTTACAATATGCAGGGTTCAGCAAGGAGAAATCGATTGCCTTTCCACACAAGCAGGCTTGGTTTGGAAGGTTGAGGAGGGAGAATTGGGAGGGTCCGGAACTGTGATAGATTACCTATGGAGTAGCAGGCCGATTTCATGTACATATTTTATGCGGAAGATAACTAACTACTATTAGTGAAATGGGATGAGATGATGAAATCAGTAGTAATGATGAGAGTCAGCATCAACCATGTAGGGGAGCGGCAGATATGGTCTGTGCTTTCAGCGGCACACGCTAAAAATCTGCCTGCCGGCTTGGCATCGTCACAACCTTCAATGAACCCCAAGACCAAAGACCCCAGACGCGACTCGACACTTCAACTCATCGCGTCGTCCATCCCTTGAGCACCACTCGCTCACCTTTGCCGGATTAAACCAATAAAAGATGCCCCGCAGAGACGAGGACGACGACGAAGATGGAGGCACAGGCTTGTATGTGTCGGAGCTAGCCGAGGACAGTCTGGAGGAGGGCAATCCGTTTGCTACCCACATTTCACATTCTGATGTCGACGACGACGACGACGACGACGAATCTGGCTCACACGAGGAGGGCAGCGACAGAGAGGACCATTCTGACGGCGACGAAGAAGAAGAGTACTCCGAGCATGACGGCCGCTTCGACCTCATTGACGACATGGCCGCTGATTCTTCCGAAGAGGAGTCGGAAGAGGACGATGGTGGTGAGGACGACTCGGAAGACTCATCCGACTCTGATGATG